ACCCCCCCCCCTCTGTCTTACGCGATTTGATTTACGCGGCAAAAAAACTGACAATTTTATATTCTCTTTAGTAAGCTAAAAAACCGCACCCCCCTTGGAGAAAAGTGTCTTACGGGCCTGGTATTGTACAGTACTGTAGATACCAATTACAAAATATGAAGAACTGTTTGAAATATTAACCTCCTGAAGATAAAGTCGAATGTTTTATATTGGATGACGGATGTGTTGTGTCAGATAGGACGATTAGACCATCGTCGGAAATGTTTTTCAATGCCAACTTCCAATGATATTTCTTCAATTTAATGAGTTCATTACCAGTGCCAATAATAGACATATCCGATATCAATTATTCCGACTTACTGGAGCTGTAAGAAAATTTCGCAGTCTTGCATCCCAATCCTAACTTAAAGAGAGAATCAGATCTAGCGAGCAGGCTCAACAAAAAATTGTTTCAATTTTAGAATATTTTTGGCTCATGTCATTCCTTGTCATGTCTATTTTCTAAAAATCACAAAAGTACATACTTTATTCCAGGAAAACTAAAACATTTTACAATAATGTATTATTTTTCTATAAGAATGGTTACCATTCTTATTATTTGGGAGAATTTAAACATTTTTCACCCATTTTTGCACTTTGAATCATTAATAACTTCACCAATTTATAACATATTGTGAATCTTTTGGGAGATATTGTATTTGATATTGTAAGGAATAGATTGGTAGGTCAATTATCCATGTTGCTTGTAATTTTGTCACCTCCTATAGATCAGATTCTGCCTTTAAGCTACGCATCATGCACCAAATACACTCTGGTAGATACCAGATGCGAGTATAAATAATCTTGATATGCGTCACTTAACATTCAAAATTCAGTTATATTTAAAAATAAACATGTTTTAGAAATATGATTTCAAAAATTGTTCAAAAAAGATTTTTGGGGAAAATTTGACTTCTAGTTCGGGGAGATTCGCCCATGTTAAAAAATCACAAAAAGTGAAATATCTTTTCTTATATTGGGCAGATAATATTTTCTTTTACTGGACATATTTTAATTTGCATGACTATTAAACACATAGGAGTGATATAAAAATTGAACCACTAAAACTGATGAATATTTAAGTTAAAGGGACCCGTTGGTGAAACTGGTAACTACCTACTCGCATCTGGGTTTTTATGTTCATTTATGTGGAGATGATACCTCGGAAAAAGATATTAAATAAATATTTCACTTTTTCATTCTGATCCACATGAAATAACCTAAAAGGTTAAGCAACAACAAATGTCATTCCGCAAAAATCATCACAAGTTCTTACAAAAGAGTTCTGGAATGCTAGATTCTGAATACTCGAGCATTACGTGCAGTACGTGCCAATAATTTACCGCTAAAATCATCCATTCTTCGCTTATGAATTACTTTTCAAGTTCTTTGAATCTTCATTATCTCGAGACTTTTACAATTGAGTTTAATGAATAGATATGTCGTGTCTCTACAGAACTCACAATACACCGACCTGTTATGAAAAAAAACTCAAAGACATTGAAATGTCGGCAAAACTTTTTTGCTTTTGGCCTTTAACTGGTGCACTAGCTAGACTGAATACAACTTTGTATATAATTGTCATTGTTGGCATAGCGTCGGGTTACGGAGCGTTCTTTCAATTGCCTAATGTTGGATGTTTTCTTTCAAAGGAATACCATCAAATGCCTTCTTTGCTACATGCCATCTTTTCATTTCATTAGAATCAAACAAAGCGAAACAACTCCTTTTAGGTTAGATCCTCCGGCAATATGAACCGAGTTCTAATTATTCTAATCTGTGTTGAAGAACCCGGGGTGAGGTTCATGCCCCGTGTAGATTTGCGTCTGTAAAACAACATTTGAAGGGTTGAGGCATTGAAAGAACAAATGAGAGGATGTTGTTGTTTTCTATTGAGTTAATGACTGATAGAAAGTTATCGTGATCTTATAATGAACAAGTAGTGCGATTCTCACACATTTATCAAAAGCTTCTTTACTATTCTTAATTTTCGAATGAAGGTGTCACGTAACCGTAGGCTATTCTTACTTTAGTTTAGTATTGGTATTCAGTTGTAACTTTGTTGCCATGGACGTGCCACGATGTGAGGCAAATCAATTTAATGTGATTCAAAATCAGAATGTAAGATGATAAAAACGAACTGATGGGGTATGCATCTGACAAATAACAACGATCCCTTTTATATGAAATTTTTGAAATTATATTAAAAGTTTCTACAGGAGACAATAAATATTTATATATATGCATTTTATGCCCCTGAGATTTCTGGATTTTTTGTTGTGAAATAATTTCATAGTCGCCGTTTATATGCCAGGCATTCGTCTTCGCCGTTGTCGGCGTTCGGCGTCTTTGGAATTACAACTAGATACGAGTATGTGTGATATTTGGTCATGTTAATGCCTTGAAGTTGTGAAATAATTTCATAATCGCCGTTTATGCCAGGCATTCGTCTTCGCTATTGTCGGTGTCGGCGTTCGGCGTTCGGCGTCTACAACTCGATATGTGGTGATATTTGGTCATGTTGATGCCTTAATTTGTATCTGTTTTTGTGAGTCACTTATCAATGCCTGTTTGTGTTTGGCGATTTAAAGAATTAAATATGTCATCAATTTCGGAACTATTGTAGTTTATGAACGAAATTGAGATTCAAACATTAGTCTAACGGATTTTGATATGCTTTTCAATGAAATCTTAAGGTTGCTAAACTTGGTGAGAGAGGTATGCGAGTATGCTTGCCTATCTTGTTTTAATTAAATTTGGATTAATTTATGATAAGTACTCAACATACAAACTATATTAAGTTACTAAATGTATTATAAATACGATACATACTTCTCTTACTACGTTCTAGGCCAATCCTAAAACTTTTTTTAGAATAAATACGACAGCAAAGTAAGGTAAATAGTTATAATATACTAAATAAAGAAACTATTAACCTACAAATGTATTTATTTTCGCACACCTCTGAGTGTATGTAGCAACGACGAGGTCAGAAAAGTCATAAATATTTTTTTACTGTATCGTTCAATCGACGTCTAACCACTTCAAATACATTTTTCATTAACTTTAAAGTTCGACTAAAATAGATTTTTCAGTACCACGTGGTTCTATATCGAGTCACTGACTGGTTGTACAATTCTTCGTTATTATTGCGCTAACAAATCCCGCTTCAATCTCCGAGCCCCTGGTATTCTACATCGGCGTCATTTTAGCACCAGCCTGCAAACTGTTGGTAAGTTTTTTACAGGTAATACGAATATTAAATCAAAATTAAAATGCAATCTTAATTTGCATTCAAACATTTTAGAATGCAATAGTCAAAACTACATACGTTTAAAAATGTAATAAATATGCAAAGCTATTACACATTAAACCTTGACCTTAAAGCATTAAAAAGTTAACTTGTAATTTAGAACATTAAATTGAAATGTTTAAGTCCATGCTTGAATCCCGAGTATTTTGCGTTTAAAACTTCATCGGAATATTTAACATCAAACATGCATTGTTTTTTTCATGCAATGAAACAGTTTGAATTATTTGAAGTAATTTCAAATTACATAGAAAATCGTTCTTTTTCATTAATTTGACGGATTCTACCAATCATCTACGATTAGATATTTGCGTTTATTCCATAATACTGCTGTTTTCCCAGGGAAATAAGGAATAAAAATCGTATTGAATCGTATTACATGAAAAATTCGTATTGTACCCGGGAAAAAAATCGTATTGGAGCGTATTACATGAAAAAATCGTATTGTCCCCGGGAAAAAAATCGTACTGGAACGTATTAACCTATTTTTGGTTTTCCTGTTATTTTTAACCTTGGCTAATTGATAAAAGCATTTTCAAAATGTAACATTTTAGAGGAATGTATTATGGAATAAATAGGTTATTTCTGGTCGGGATTGAATATGGGTTTCATTCCTCGGAAAATATGATATTGACCTTGGGAAATATGATATTGACACTCGGTCGCTGCGCTCCCTCGGTCAATATCATATTACCCTTCGGTCAATATCATATTGTCCCTCGGAATAAAACCCATATTCAATCCCTCCCAGTAAATAACCTATATGTACTGGAATGCATATTGAATATGAATTTTATTCCAAAGGACAATAAATCGACCGAGCGAGCGTAACGATTGGGTGTCAGTAACTAAAGATATTACCCAAGATAAATATAATACTATCCCTCGGAATAAAACTCGTATCAAATCCCTAGCTACTGTAAGGGGTTTCCTGTCAATAATATTCATTACGATCTTAATTTCTTCATTATTTCCAAGAGATATTTTCGGAAAATTATCATACCACACACATTGAACAGGAATACTGTGATGACATTAAAATGTGCTTGATTTTTCATTTTGAATGGTTACATTCTGTTATCCTGACTTTATTTTACTAAAAGCAATATCATAGTCAGGTACATACATGTAGTCTATATACACGGAGTACATATACTTAATAAAATGTCGTCATGCAATGTAATCCACATCTAGTTGATTGTTGTGACTAGCGTGTAAATTAGTTGGTTTTTTCACAGTTTGGAGTGTTTGTGTAATATTAATTTCAGTTAAAGTTTTCTTGTAAATAAATGATATCATAAACGTGGTATGGTAACTGAGTTAAAACCCAGTTGTTGATAAATGCTGCCATCTTTATGAAGCTAATATAGTTAATGAAAATATCTGGTTGTTTATAGCAACGTAACATAAATCGATAAGGCTTTAAACAGGGCTATTGTATGTGTACTACTATTCAATATTGCTGTATTGTATTTGTATTATCGTATTATAAGGTCGTTTCACTATATACTACTGAATAATGGTTTTGTGTCTCGTAAATAAAGATTTGGTCAAATCGTGAACGATGTAACTACCTGTGCACACGGAGTATGACTGGATCCATGGATTGGATGGATATTACACGTATCATCGGGTACAGTAGGTAGCAGCAAAATCACATGTCCTGGAGATTACAGCAGCTTACAAACGAACTTTACATATTTAACATATCTGTTTCGATCAGATGTTGATGAAATATGGACATGAAATGACAATCTTCAGCTCACGGTATGAATATGGACAATTTTAAATAATGTACAGGAAATATCGTAATATTGTTCGAATACGAATACTAAACATGCAGACTCATTCTGATGGCATTGAAAATACACTTAAAGAGAAACTCTCTAGATCTATTACTAGCATACAAGAGGAAACATCTGAAGAAAACCCCGTCCCAGATTCTTCCGAAGTGACTAACCGAGATGAGAAAGAGTCTGGAAATGATGCTGCCAACGATGATGATGACGATGCTGAAAACAATGACCCGGATGGTGAGCCTGCAAAAAAGGGTAAGAAACTGTCCGATGAAGAGCTCCTGGAAATCCAAGACAAGATAATTGAAGAAATAGTAAACGTTCGCATTCCTTTGCTAAAGGAGATTACGAGTGCTGATCCAGTTGAATTAGACAAACATTTCAGAAATGCTGTCCTGTTTATCGCTCAGGCATACTTCAAGTTTAACAAACATGGTATTCTTCGAACCAGGCCCTATAAAATTAGACTTGATGACACCCTGGCCTCAAATGGTCTGCTAGCATATTATCTCAAAGCACTGCACCATCTCAAAGAAGAGGGACATGCCTATTTAGGAGAAGGTGGCGCTATTTTGCAAGACAAGCCTTTTTGTAATATAACCAAGACATTGATCAACTGCTCTGATACCGGGGACAGTTTCTGCAGACATGTTTGTGAAGTTGATGGTTTCTTGGACTTCTTAGTGGACTTCCTTCGTAACCATCTGAAGGGGCATATAGAAAAGACTAATAAAGAATCTGTAGAAACTGGTATTCGGAACATAGTGGGTTGTCTTCATAATGTCTCAGTGAGATCTGAAAATAGGCAAGTGCTTAAGGACCATGGGGTTGTCGAAATCGTGTTGGAATATAGTGAGCAGTCTCCCAAAGAGCGAATCCGCCTATCGACGTTATTTACATTGTCGTTCACATTGGATGAATCACAGAGCCATCTATTCGCATCAAATCCTAAACAGATCAAATTATTACTAAGTTATCTTTCTCAGGCAATGGAATCCAAAATAAGACGACACAAAGGGTACTCTGCCGTTGAGTTGGCTCAAGCAGTTTCACAACTGTCAATCAACGATGGTAATAAGAAACTGATTTTTGAACAAGATGCCTTGCCACTTCTGCTACACTTGGCCAAAGGTAATAAAGAAAATGAACAGATTGAAGCAACTAAAGCAATATGGATGCTTGCCTTTGATGAGGACAATCAAACAAAAATGAAAAACAACTCAGAGTTGATTGAACTATTAGAAACACTGAAAGGTCATAACAATAAGGAAGTCAGGAACAACGCCAAAGGGGCATTATGGACCCTGAAGGAAAAATCAGAACAGCATAAAATTCAAACAGAAGCAGAGTCCGGAGTTAAGGAAAGTGAAGTGAAGCATATCATGATCAGTTACAACTGGGGCCATCAGAAACTGGTGAAGCGTATAAATCAAGAATTAAAGAGTCTTGGGTATAAAATATGGTTGGACATCGAACAGATGGAAGGGAGTACACTCGGTGCTATGGCTGCAGCCGTAGAGGGCGCATGCGTCATTATCGTCTGCATGTCTCAGAAATACAAGGACAGTCCTAACTGTAGGGCAGAGGCAGAATATGCCTACAACCTCCAGAAACCAATCGTCCCATTGCTCATGGAGAAGGGATATCGGGCAGACGGTTGGCTAGGGATGTTACTGGGTACAAAACTGTTTTTCAATTTCAGTGGGAAATATCCATTTGAAGATAAAATGCGGGAGCTAATCAAGGAGCTTGGGAATCAAGGAAAGGGTCAAAGTGTAGATCAAACAGACGTTGCTCAAAGTTTACCTATGTCTATGTCATCACTTCCTGCGCCATCGGTTCCCAAGAAAGTTGAATCGGGTGCGCAGACATGGGACAACGCTCAAGTCAAAGATTGGTTGAAAAAGATCGGTCTTGAAAATGACAATTTGAACAATGTATCAGGGAAGGAGCTGATGTTTCTGAGAGGTTTAAGATCTGAAGCGCCTGAATTTTTCTTCTCTTATTTGAATAATAAATTAAATATCTCAGGCCTTTACGATCTCCAAGTATTTACAGATGCATTAAGACAATTGTGAAGAAGCACGGTTCCACGTACACATGAAAATACGACAATAGGGTGGTTAAGTTACACGTGTTTTAAAGAACCTGCACGTCAGCGTGAACTATTTCGACTCCTTTGATTATTGCCCTGCTCTCAATTCACTTTCCAGGGATCTAATTACAATTATTAGGGAGTTTAAGCTTGCATATAAAATCGTCAACCTATACGTATGACCAATCTTAAATTCCCTACTGTCCAAGTAAACAGTCAAATGGGAGAACTAATCCACAAAAGGACCATAATTGATCTACACGTCCAGGTACAAGTTAAAAAACGTGCATCTTAACCTCACTATCATTACCCAGTGCTATCTTTATTGTAGTACAAGAAGCATACCTTATATGTAACCTGACCATTTATAGAAAACAATAAATTTTATCTTATCTAATGTTGACTGGTTATAAAATAACATTTTGGCAATTTAGTGGTCTTTTATCAAAGCCATATATTACATGCAGTTCAATGCGAAATCAGTTCCTTCTCGACGAGTTAAATTTTCTTCAGATAAAATACCAGCTATACACAATATTATCCTACACTTAGTGTACTAAATGTATAATAACATTAAAAAATAAATTTGATATTTATTGGCAAAATGAATATCCGGAGGATATCGTAACGATATACTCCGGGCGGAGGATATCGTGACGATATACTCCGGAAAACCCAATATGCGGAGGATATTGTGACGATATACTCCGCTTGTTGATTTCCCGCCAAACTGACTCCATTTGCCATGGAATTCATTTTGCAATGATATTATACATTTAGTACACTCCTTGTAAGTGTAGGATAATAAGAACATCCTATGATTTTTTTCAGAATATCATTTTAATCTATTCGGTGATATTGATATATGCACTCGTTCGCTTCGCTCTCTCGTGCAGATATCAATATCACCTCGTAGATAAAAATGATATTCCTCAAAATCATAGGATATCCTATAATTATTATATCACTATCTAGCTAGCGACAGTATGATTGGTCAAAACCGGGTCACATGTCGTGGGATATCTGGCGATATTCAATGGCAATGCTAATCAGATAAGACAACCGTGAGATATCTAGCGATATCCCACGCTCCCGGGAATTTTCAAAGAATTTGTTTTCGTTCAGTGTAAATAATTTAGTTCAGTGTAAGCCAAAATGGCAGACGAACCGAGTAGATTCAATGTATTTCAATGTTAACCTATGACTTATAATAATATTAGGGATGTTAAGCTAGTCAGTGATATAATAAAACAAATATTTCACTCTATTTTCGGTGAATGCCTGTAGCACTTTCACAAGGTGATATTCCACTTGCCCTTCGGGCTTCGTGGAATATCACTTGTGAAAGATGTACAGGTATTCACCTCAATAGAGTGAAATATTTGTTCAGTATCTACAACCTGATGAGTCAGCATAATGTAAAGTGTAACCGTCTGAAACACATCAGAATCCAATGACAATATCTACAAATTATATCTTTGAAAATATCAGTTTACAAAAATAACGATCCCATCTGTGATGCTATAGTCTTGCACCAAGCCTCTGAACCCCTACCCTATCTAGGCTGTGGAGGTTAAATGTGCGTCTTGGAGAATGTTGTGTTATTGCCATAATGACATATGATTGTTACATACGTATGATATAAATTGCATAGCATACTATATACCACTTTGTGTTGTTTTGGAACTCGTGATCACGTGACTATGTGGTGTATTACTATATCTTATCGGTTACTGCATCCTGAACTTTTTTTAGCTTGATTGATGATAGTACTAAGATAAGGAGTCAAAAGGTGATTCAGTCTTGGGAACAGCCCAAGATAACGCGCTTCTATTGGCTCCCTCTATTGGCCAGGTTAATGAATTTAAGATTTCACCCCTCGGTGTTATATTGGGCTTTGGTGGTCTCATGGGCTAAAAGAAAGAAATTGAAGAAGGGCCGGCGCAAATCCCAAAATGGGGCTAAAAATGCATAAACCGGTAAATTATTCTAACATTCTTTTGAAATGTAAATTAAATCTTACCGGCGAAAGTATCTTCAAAAAGTCATTTTGACAATAAGCATCATTATTTATAGTTTCAAAGAATGTCCATAAACTATGTAAAACTGACTTTTGAATTAAATTGTCGTCTAGTGTCCCAATCACACTGTACTTCTCAATTATCAAATGCAATTTTTTTTTTTTGGGGGGGGGTTGTCAGTGCTATACACTCCCCGACAAAAGTTTGTCAACACCACCTCCCTCTATATGGAATCATATATTCGTACCTGTTCATGATAGCGACATCTTCACTGTTCCACAACTAGTTACTTTGACGGAATGTCAATGTAACAAAATGCATGAACTTCCTGGTTACGAGTTTTTTGTTTTCTGTTTTTTTGATTTAAACCTACTAATTATAAGTCAAGTTGCAGATTATAATTTGGCACAAAGCTAGAAAATATAATATATAATATATAATATATTTAGTCTAGTTTTAATAAGTTTCTTCGATTTGGAATTTGTTTGTAAATGAAGATGCAATTCATATATTTAGCCCCTCGCTTTTGGTACATTGACGAAAGTCCGTTATATCACCAATGTATGTTACTTTGACGACTTGAGTCAACGTAACAAAAGCGATGGTCTAAATGCATGAATTATTGAAAAATCAAATTCCAAATCGAGAACATTTCTAAAAGCTAGACTATGTCTAACTTTGTGCCAAATGATAATTCGCAAAATGACCTACGTAAGTTTAAATCGAGAAAACTCGTATCCAGGAAGTTCATCCATTTTGTTACACTGACGTGCTGTCAAAGTAACTTGTTGTGGAAAGGTGATCGTTGTCATCAATTTTTGCCTTATGGAATTTAGGACAATTCTAAACATTTAACAGGCTTAATACGCTACTCTCTGTCTAATGGAGTCTGAGTTTCAAAACTTTTGGAGGGGAGTGTACGGTCGTGTATATATGCCATAAGTGGAGTAGATCGTCAATCGTCACAACAAATGCTAATTTGGATGTCCAATGTATAATTACCACTTTAAAAAGGAATTGGTAACTCAAAGGTTGCGGTAGCGACATATAATTTGGTTTATGGTAACAAATTAAACTAGTGTCAATGGCCAAACCCACCCAAATTAAACTATTTGATTAGTAGATAGAAAGTGTAATAAAATAATAATCCTCTCATATATTTCTTGAAGAATTTAAGAGTGATTTGTTATGATATCAAAACTTGTGAAAAAATTGAATGGTCTTTCTAGCATGACTTAATTCATTAGAATTGGATTTTTGGAAAGCAAAAAAGCCATGTGGTCAATAGAAATGTTAATTAATATTCATCGAGAATGCATTAACATTTCTTCAAAATGCAGAGAAGGTCGAAGTGCAAAACTAGTATGATGTGACGGATAAACAAGAAATAAAACAGATATTTGCAAAGCTATTCTGATCTTGATTTAGAGGTATCATTTCCGTGCATCATTCCTGATATATTTAGCTTTACCTATAGATATATAGTTATAGTATCACGACTGCACCTGAGCACAATGAATGTATTTATTGTTGAAACGCGAACACTTCCAAAGTATACTGAATATTAGTAATAACTCACCACATAATTAATTTAATATGAGTAAATCGCGGCAAACATAACATATTCGTATACAATAATGTGTTGATATCTATCATGTTAATAAGTGGCATCAGTTGATGATGACTGATCACCTTTAATAATCGCATTATCCCGGGGTTATAAGCCTTGTACTTTAAGGAGATGAAGCTCTCTTTTGACTAAGCAAAACCAAACTATAAGAAAACAGAAGGGTAATTATACACAATAATTTTCCAAGAACAAAATAGTATATTTACGTGGAATTATCTACTAATAGCACTACAGGATGTCATGCATATCTACGTACTCAATCAAATGGATCGTGTGCATCTATCTACAATACATATAAAGTAAAGCCGGACATTCCAGAATACAATAGCGCATTACATAACGCAACGATGGGTTCCATCTGGTAAATATAAAAACATTTTCAGTTCTTTCGAAGTAGAACGTAATTTTCAAACAATATTGAAGAGTGTTGAAACATCACTGGCGGATTCAGGGGGGGGGGGGGCATGGGGCTTTTTAGGCCAAATTATCAAAAAAATTTTAGTTAGGGGCTCAAATTATTTTCTGAAAATGTATGCCTGCCTCAATATTTGCCCCCTCCCTTGCTAGTTTCTGGATTCGCCAGTGAGAATATGTAAGACAATGGTTCATGACCTGTATCCCATATCTATATAATCATATTCAATTAAATCATAATTTATGATCTAAAGCAATGATCGTGTACTTAGTTGACACAGTATTTTTTTATCGAAATTCTTTAGAAAATTTGCTTTGTTTTAGATACAACCAATAGATTTTGAAGTAATAATATTCAGAATTGTGTAAATTATTTAAAATGAGTTAAAAAGAAATGCAAATGTAGATTCGCTGAAGAAAGGTCATTTCACATTTTTAATCGTGTTCCCCACATTTGGCAGTAATTTTAGAGGGCTTCAGGTTTCAACGGTGTGTCCTGTGTTACATTCCTTTCTACCCTTGTTATTGACAATGACATACCTTTGTTAAATGAACTACGATTCTGTTTATTTGTGTTAAAACAACGTGAATTACAACCGCGTGTGTTTTTTAAACTTTTGATGACACCGTTTGGTGATGTCTATAGATGACAATAACGGATTCAACATGAGTAATGAATCTTAGTTTTATAGTTGTAGGGGATGTCGTAAATAGTTTGTTTTAAATCTCAGCGTACATATACAAATATCATTAAAACAATATTTAAAAAACTAGGATTGTGTGTCTAGCCGTTTTATATATTCATTATAAAAGTCACGAAATTATAATTTTATATTTCAAAAAGTGAATATAAATATTTTAATAACTCATGTTAAACTTGACAGTTAGTATTTGTCACCTCATTTAAGATCGTTTTAAATGTTCAAATGTGAGAATTAAATATTACTTTTAAGAAACACAGTGAGATATGCATCACTTATGATAAAGAAATTGAAGGCACGTGTACGTCTGTTCTAGGATTCACCCTGGGTCTGTTTTTCTTGCATCACGTAGATAAGTAGTCACGTTCATTTTCGATTCTTAAGGACATTGGTTTTAAAGGAAGGTCTGAGTTAAAATATTACAAATCCAATAGTACAAGTACGTAGAGATGTTTTGTTATTTCCTATTTTATTTATACAGGTTGTAACTTTTCAATAGGTATAGTAATATATACAGCCAACTAGGAATTGGAATTACAGGAAAATCCATATCTGACGTCACTGCCGCTGTGAATCAGATCGATTCTTATTACAGTGTGAATATTGGCTCAAACGTAAAAAGCTAGGGCAAACAAGGCCAGTACTTAACAACATAACGCAGAATATAAGAACACATCCGGTTTATACAAGTGGATAGTTTTGGCCATTTGAAATATGCGAAGTATGTAAAACTGTAGTGACTTTTACAAGGATGTAAGACTATCGATCTCGCGTGGAATGAGGAATACAGGATAGGGTATAGTCCATGAACATATTCGTTCCAGGGAGAACGATATCATGAAGTGTACATCAAATGCTCGTCTACAGTTATACTATAAGCCAATATTATAAATACAAGTATAACCTGCTAATTTACACCCCACGAAAAGAGCTTTAAGTTTACATGCACAACTGAACATAATTGTATAACCTATATTAATCTCTGATAGGACTACCAGATAAAGCATTGGAATATAATCGCGAAGAACTGTTCGGTCTTACTGCGTATACAATGGTACATGAGCTAGAGATACGTATTTAGGTAGGTACATCAGAACTTTTCATAGAATGGGTAAGTCAGTTGAGCTGTAATAATCAGTGATTAATTGCTATGCGCCAAGATATGAGTGATGAGGCTCACTATCTATAAGGTCACATTCACCAGCAATCGCGAACAAGTGCATTCCTCGTTCTGCTTGGAGAATGACAAGGTCAATGTGTGTAGCTTTATAACCAATCAAATTTCATTGTATCTCCCTATCATTACATTAGATGTCATGTATGGTTGAAAATTCATGATGTAATACGAACATAGGACTTTTTTGCTTGAACTAATGGAAATAAAATATCGACCATGTTGACTTGACCTTATTACATGTATTGAAGTACGTCAGACTCTTGGTGTATTGTATTACTACAATGAATAACAATAAAAACCACAGACGGGGTTATAATGACCCCATTAACATTGTGTTAACATGTAGGAAGTTTTGACAGCATAATTACCGAGTCATAATAATTAAAGTACACAACTCACAGCTGAAAAAACAAACAATAACATGTTATACAAACGAGGCCCTATGACCTGTAGCCGCTTAAAGCCGTTCATATTTACATAATTTATTTTACAGTATAAAGTTTTCAGAGAACGATAATCTTGTAGGAGGCCCCCAAGGGTGTTGCTATTCCTGGTCATATTTTACAATTTCAGTTTTCGCTACTTTGGAATATCAAGAAAACTCCATTCTGGTACATAAGAGTAACGTTTTATCAAATGCCTGTGTATGTTAGAATCTAGAGGGTGTTGATCCTACAATGAGTAAACCATGTAGTACTTGTTTGCATTATTTCTAAATGGGAAGTTCAGGTTTAGAAGGTATGACCTTGAAGTGGCTTTTTAAGTGGCTATAAAAGAGATATTTATACGATCATTAAGCGGATCAACGATGTCGCTGGTAAATCTTTAAGAACTCCACGGACACGTCGCTGATCTTTTTATAACTTCACATAAGCTATAATATGTCGCTATAAATCTTCTTTAGCAAGAAAATTATGTCGCTGAAACTTCAAAAACTGTTGTGAGTTTAAAACCAGGTAACATTTTCATATTATAGAAAAGAACCGTCCTTGATTTTCCTTAAGTCACTTCGTAAATTAAATATTTTGATATTAATAAACATTAAACTATAGATATAAATACACTTAAATGTTTTAAAAGATATCAGGCTAAATATAGTAGGATAATGGTATTGACATACATTAAGGCAATCTTACTAAAAATTCCATTCTGATACCGATCCAAGGTGGGTCCTTAGTCTATTAGTCTTTAGTGTTAGTGTCACGCGTTGAGGAATGAGACGAGCATATTTACAGTAGTAGTTTCTTATCAAAAATGGTAACACTTTCTAATACGATGAGGTCCTTACAGTTTGGTGACAGACTGAAGAAAATCACGGTCTCGTATCATCTTTATCATTTGTTGTTTTATTTGAAAACTAAACTTACCGCCATCTATGTCATAAAAACTTAACAATGGCGTTCTTGTGGAATCTGGGCTTATAATTTCTGGTAGATGCCATAATATTAGACTTGATGGAATCCTGACAAAATTTGTTGAAGTACATCAAATTGGAAACATTTTTGAATACAAATATATTTCAAGAAAAAAAGAATTCAAAATGGCTCTTATTGCTTCTCCCAGCTTCTCAACAAATCCAAAGGAAATGCCGGCCCCATGTTTCATTACTTTATTTTTTTGGTACGGTCAGCCATAGCAAAAATACCTCCAATTAATTACCTATCTAGCTAGAATATATCCTACTTTCTGGTCAGTAGCAGACAAGTAAACCATATTTCTGTCAGTCTCATACGAAGATGCTTTGTAATTGACTTTAGTAAGAAGTCGTACTATGTATTGACAATCAATAGCTATAGACGAATGGGCTAAGATGCGCTCCGAGAAGCACACTAGCTAGTGGCCGATTATCGCTCGATCGACCTGACTTATGCCTTGATCACATTTATGCCGGGGTCACATTTGCTCCGATTCATCGGCCGGCGCCCTGCCGATTGAGTATTCTGTTCAAAATGGAATACAATTGTGAACAGGATACTCAATCGGCCGGACGCCGGCCGATGAATCGGAGCAAATGTGACCCAGGCATTCTTGCGATTCATTGGCCGGCGCCCAGCCGATTGAGTATTTTGTTCAGAATTTCATTCATTTTCGAACAAAATACTCAATCGCCCGAGTGCCGGTTGATGATGGGCCGGCGCCCGGCCGATTGAGTATTTTGTTCAAAATTGAATACAATATTGAACAAAACACTCAATCGGCCGGGCGCCGGCCGATGGATCGGAGCATATGTGACCAAGGTAAAAATTGGAGCAAATGTGACCAAGGCATAACTTGGATTAAAAACCCATTGAATGGTATTTTCATTGAAGCAGGCTAGTTATTGAAGCGTAACTATACACTACTTTCAACCCTCAGTTCGTCAAGGCTTAAAATCCATTGATCAGTCATGCTTTAAATAGATTGACCAATCAGGAGTATTGATACCACTCTAATGTCATATATATGGTTGGTTGATCAGTTAACATCTTCAAGAACGAGGATTTCTTGTATCTGTGCGAGGCACTGTGCCCTTTGCAAGGTCAAGTTGGCTAAGAAGCTAAGGTCAATAAGACTCAATATAATGTTTGTCAGAGGGTGATAATCATTGATTCATCAACCAATTGCAAGGAAACAGACATAACATAACAACATACTGTTATAGTTGTCCGATATTATCAGTTTGGTCGGTCTTGTAAATTGCTCGTGGGGGTAAGTTTTATTTCTGTTTTATTTCTATAATGTCTAGAATAACTTCTTTTTCAACGTTTAGGTTTTCAAGACAGCGTGTAAATGATCGTGTGGGGATTTGGCATACAGTTCCAAAATTAGAGGAATATTTTCAAGGTCAAAAAAAGGTCAAAAAGGTCTTTTCAACTTGCTTCAAATCGACCGATTTTTTTCGAAATCATCCATAAGTAATCAGAAGTTCAAATCTGACTTAAGGTGCTATGGAACTTAACAGGAAATGACAAAACAGGAAGTGACAATTTTTTTTGCATTTTTAGATATTTTTTGAATAAAGATAATAGAGTTCTGGTTTGACCTCCAGTCAATTTAACTATTTCCACATATCATTTACATGACCAGGATCACAATGTGCATGGTCAGAATGACCCGAAACATGATGAAATAACCTTTTTAGCCCTTTGAAAGTGTGACTGAAAAAAAGCAAAAAGTAGGAGCGTAGGGAAGGTCAATGAACAGAATCTTTTGAATTTTTCAGAAAATGTGCCCAATTTATTGCTCTTAATGATACAATCTTTGAAAATTTGATATCATTCATAGAAAAAGAAAAAAAATGAAAAAACTGATTTGAAAAGCGATCTATTTTCCTTTTTATGACCGCCATTTTTGTTTAAGACAATTTTCTAAAATTTCAAAGATTGTACTAGTTAGAGCATTATATTGGGCACATTTTCTGAAAAATTCAAAAGATTCTGTTCAGTGACTATCCCTACGCTCCTACTTATAGCTTTTTTTCAGTCACACTTTCAAAGGGCTAAAAAGGTTATTTCATCATGTTTAGGGTCATTCTGACCATGCACATTGTGATCCTGGTCATGTAAATGATATGTGGAAATAGTTAAATTGACTGGAGGTCAAACCAGAACTCTGTTATCTTTATTCAAAAAATATCTAAAAATGCAAAAAAATTGTCACTTCCTGTTTTGTCATTTCCTGTTAACTTCCATAGCACCTTAAGATTTGAGATTTGACCTTCAATGACCTTCTTAAGGTCAAAAAATGTCAAAAAGCTCTTTTTACAACTTGCTTTAAACTGACCATTTTTTTCTAAATCATCTACAAGTTCTCAAGATTTCAAATCTGACTATAAATTTGACCTTCAATGACATTCTCAATCTGACTTTATAATTAAGATTTGACCTTCAATTACCTTTTCAAGGTAAAAAAATGTCAAAAAGGTATTTTTCAACTTGTTTCAAATTGACCGATTTCTTTTTCAAAATAATCTATAATTTATTGGAAGTTCAAATCTGAATTAAGATTTGAGATTTTACCTTCAATGGCCTTCTTAGGTCAAAGAAAGTCAAAATGGTATTTTTTTAACTTGCTTCAAATTGACCAATTCTTTTTCAAAATAATCTACAAGTTCTCAACATTTTAAATCTGACTATAGATTTGACCTTCAATGACATTTTAAAGGTCAAAATAGATTTGACCTTAAATGACCTCAAGGTCAAATCGGTCTTTTTTATCTTAAACAAATTAGGTGGTGACATTTTGTCATGTTAATGCCTTGTTAGGTTTTACTGACGAAATAAAGCAATGAAATGGGCTGTACTTCTCTAACTTTTGCACAACGAGTGCACTAATGTACCCAGAAAAGAATGTAGAGAAGAATGTATAACAAACAAGAAAATTCAGAAATTCAGAAATTGGAAAATGGGAAAATAAAATGACATACTTATTTTGTAATTTTCTCTTTTTTCATACATTTTATTAACAAATTTTCTATAAGATTCAATTTTTCATCTATTTCAATAGATTTGTTGGATAGAAATGAATTTAATCAAAGATCAAGTTTGTATAGAAACGATTCAATAGGTTCTTTCTAATTTATATAAGGCCTGAAGCCACATGTCATTGGCTGAATCCAGGGGCTCCAGACTGTTTTTGAAAGCGCAAGTCTTTATTAGGTGTAAAGTCAGACTGTTCTGATCTGTCTTGCATGCCAAGCTATATAAACAAGAAGCATACTTTGCTGCTCAGTTGGCTCGTCTGGTTTGGTACAAATAGGAAGTACTGTGTCTAAGTATTTATATAAGATAAATCATACAGGTAATAAAAATATATATATTTTGCATTTGCATTTCTGAGGGAAAAATCATAAGTGGAAATTTGCGAATTCAAAGTTGTTTCATTTAATATTTACGCGCCATATGCGCTCAAATGTGCGTTTATAATCACACTGAAAGGAGTTATTGGACGATATCGAAAATCTTGATAATGACATAACGTTACGGTTGATAATTACAGCATAGTTAACTTTAATAACGTAAAAAGGATTCGTAAAATCACCGATGTTCAACGGTTGAAGTGATCTCACAAAAAAACGAAGTTGCGAGTTGGAGACGCGTGTACTCCTTGTGTTTATTCATCTATAAGGCTTTAAAAGACCCTTGCAGTACACCTTCAGTACAGATCGACTTTATACCAGTCTAAGCTATGAACTGACAACATTTCAAAATAATTCGGCTCGTATGAAGGACTTAAAATCTTTGCATGTAACAATTTACAACGACCATTCTCATACCATTTTGATTAATCGATTCCAATAAATGAATAAATCAGAATAAAAATAGAATGATTATAAATAACAATAGTATATTATCTACGTTCCTTCGTATAGGCTACCGAGCGTTGATTTATATTCGTGGCAATATAACTTTTACACTCTTAAAACGAGTTTTGTTATGTTAACGTCAATAACGTGTTAATGTGTTTTTTTGGTATTTTAACACGTTGGTGCGAAATTAAGCCTACAGGAGCTTTTTTAACACGAGGCGTTTGCGTTTTAACACTTTAATTTTTAAATACGTTTTTGACAAGCGTTTTTCCTGTGTTAAGCGTTAAATAACTGTTTTGGATTTTCTTCGAAACACTTTTATTAACACTGTAACACTTGAAAAACGCATTTAAATTATCAACGCTTCAAAAACGCCTCACGTTTATAACGAGATGCACATGCGCAGTCTTTTCTACCGATATCCGGTCACAAGGGTGCAGACAAAATTGGTAAGTTCTGTTTCTTCGTGTTTTCTTTAATCGTACAAGGTCAAAAGCATAGATCGTTCGTTGACTACTTATGTACATAATACCAAGGAACACGATGGACATGTATATTAAATGATACACTAAATGTGTGTCTTATAATGCCCACATGAAAAATGTCAAGATGCTTAGTTGATATTTCAAAATGGCGGATGTCCAACCCGAATAAACACATGGCGTAGAATAATGGAAATAGCCGTGAATCCCGGGACACTGAATCTCGGATCCAAGTACGTCATTAATGGTCGAAAATCAAAATATTGACAAATTTATAACCTAAAAGGCCGAAAGATTATGCGGTAAATGCTGAAACGGGGGTTGTCAACATATTGTATTAGCTTTGATCTCTTAGAATCCGTTGAATCCTAAGCGATTGGAGTTGTTTAGATCACTTAATGAATGATATGAAATGATGAGGATTTGAGTTTTTTCAAAGTTTATAATGGCGGCCAATGGGGGATTTTAGCAAAATATCCCGAAAACTAAATCATTAAAAGGCCGAAAGATTTATGGATGGATTTTGCTGATTTATATATCAAAACGAACACTTCGTTGGGTGTAACAAGGATCCGTTGAATCCTAAGAAAATAAATGATTTGCTAAAAAGTTATCATTAAGATTTTAAATTTTGATGAAGACTGCTCACCATTGAAATCTTTGGACCATGAAATGTCGGTTTACGCGCATGCGTTGTGACGTTATTTCCATTATTCTACCCATGCAAAGCGTTGAAAATGAAATACGTTGTCGATCGCATTTCTTGGTATTACGGATATTTCTAGGAGAACACAAGTGAACCATTGAATAAAACATGAAAAAATGAAGAAACAGAGATTGTACCAATTTCGTCTGCACCCTTATGACAGGATATTCCTAAGTGTTTCAGAAGTGTTTAACAATAACACTTTTTTAACACATTCTTGGAGATAAACACGTTTTCGTATTAATTATCTGTTGCAAGCCCTGAAACACGTTTTTGTGTTAAAAATAAAAACTATAGTTTCGACTTTCAACTCGTCGTCTACTACATTTGTTCGTGCGATCGTGCAATGAATAAGTGCCGACTAATTTAGTCAGACACATCAAAAGTTTAAGGGTAGACAGTCGATTTTTCAAACAAGAATTTTATAATTTTTAACTAACATATTATAAATGGTTACATATACCGATGATAGTCCGGTAAAAACCGGTAATAGTCCCCTAGCATCCAGTTATCCAGACTGTTTTCTCATGTTTTTCAAAATAAACAACTGTTTGACGTAAAAAACCAGGAACAACTAAGTGAATCGACAGTGTAACACTGACTAGAATATTAAATATGGTTATGTTTACTTCATGCGCAAGTGTAGTAATTGTACATTAAGATGATACCATGCTCATATGTTTATGTCACATCTAGTTATATATCAAGCTGCAAGCTTACATGTAATATTGACATCAACATACGCCAACAACTCATCTGGGGCCAACCGGAGATATTCATTTACCGGGTCATCCGAAATCCAAAGAAGAAATAAAAATCGGCTGTGAGTGCTGTTCAGATTCAGATATTTATTACTATTTTGAAAAACATACATGACATTTATTACAACATGACGCTCCCGGGACCATATATGGGCACGAGACCGGGTAATTGCTGCTAAGTTTATGATATGTATACTAGTACTAATGGTATATATAAGTTGATAAGACAAATAAAAGAAAACAGACGATAAACATATAACAGCTGAAATTATTTTTGATGATTTGTGCATTTCAGTGCTGGAACTAGTAGAACTATTGGGATTGATCAGAAAAATATCTTAGTGAAGTCAACTATCGACCTTAATTGGACGGAAGATCGTGTTGGAGAGAGAAAGCAACGTAACCACCCTACACCCGATAATACAAAGAAACCTGCAAGAATGAGTCATTGGGGCTATGGAAAAGATGATGGTAAGGAAATGAATATTCGTTTGGAAATTTTTCGCAATGATTGGACGTGTCGTTTATTTTAAGTATACATCAAAATAAATGATAAATGTTAAATTTGATAAATGTTAAAAAGAAATGAATCCGTTGATAAACGGACATTTTAATTACTTATCATAGGCCTAGAGACGAAATAACTTTTATCACTTGTCCCAGGGATAATACCATTTCCTATGATCATATTCCTTATAGCTCCCAACTTATATTGGCTTTCTCAACGATTATTGAAATATCATTGAACTGAATATCATTTGACTTTGACAATTGATTATGCTGAAAACTTTGGGTATTGAGTCGATGGGGATATTGATTTCATGTTTACTTGGCCTATGACATTGTATGACATAATGTAGTCAATATGGAAAGCAGGCCCGTAGCCAGGATTTGCCAAGGGGGTTCAGTTTTCAAAAATTTCCAGGGGGGTTCACATTTAACAATTGATATAAATCATTTGGGTTATAAAATTAATATTTAGATGTTTCCCCTGGGATTTTCCCGTGTTATATAACAAAAAGAAGGCTTATTTCATATCTTGTTTCAGGTCCAAGCAAGTGGGCACAGGACTACGAAGCCGCTGGCGGCAATAGACAGTCACCTATAAATATAGTTAGGAGTCAAGCAAAGTTCGACCAGAAGCTAGCAGATGCACCTCTCGTCACCAAGTATTCTGCGGACAACGCCAAGTCACTTAGCAACAGTGGTCATTCATTTATGGTGGACACATCAGCATCGAAGACCGGTGAGTAACACTTGGTAAAATATATCCGTTATAGTCAGTTTGGTTGAGCTATGATACGTCAGAATACAAGAGCTCTTAACTAATTAATAGAGAGTTTAAGCTTGCAATGTTTTCAACGTGAACGGACATTTAAGCGATGCATTTGTATGGGCGATTGGTCATACTTATAGGTTCAATAGGTTGGCGTTTCGATTTTATATGCAAGCTTAAACTCCCTATTATATCGTATACGTATCCTGTAATCGAACTCTAAAATAAAGTTAACAGTAGTGGAGCAGTGAGGTGTACATCAATAGATGGGGGGATGCGAGTAATATTTATAACATAACCCCCCCCCCCCTATCAAACCAAACTTGTTCTTACCCGTTCTTGCCAGTCCTACGAAAACGTCGTAAAACGGGCTGGCTCAATCTGGCTGTGGTCGGGAAATATGTCTAAAATAATTAGCTACTTCGTTTATAAACAGTCTTCAATACGTCCATCTCATTCACACGGTTCGTTCAGGTCGCACCACGTCGGTGTGCAACGTCGTATAACGCGTCCCTTAGTCTAGAAGGTCATCATGACCTGATTACAGAACGGTATGGTCGCCATCGAATTTTGAATCGATTCAAAATCCTAAATCACATTCCCCGTCCGGGAAAGTCCATGAAGTTCGTAAACAGACCGTCAGTAGAACGTTGTAGCTACGTTCATTCCGTTCGCACACAGTTTAAAACCAGTTTTGAAGAACGCAGTGGCAACTTGCTTGGTGTGATTGCTATATCGTTTGCAATTAGTTCTACCTCTTTCTCAATACGTCCCCAGACAGTTCAACTCGTTGTAAAAACGTCCCTAGTAGGATTGAAGAACGACTGTTCCGTTCGTAGTACTTCTAGCTCGTCATTAGTAGGTTGTCACTCGGCGTTCTAATTGCAGAACGTGACGACCAAGAGAACATTTTGAGCATGTTCTAAGTTCTAGAGGACCTACCCGTTCGAGTACGTTCGATGAAGCTTGTAAATAGACCCCACGGTTCTACGTAAGTACGTCCAGTCCGTTCGTACACAGTTATAAAGCCCGTTTTCGAGAACGTAGTGCGAACTAGTTTGGGGCGATAGTAAGGTAAACAATATCGGGATATGCCACTCTAAATATTTTAGCTTATGAAAAGCCATACACCCCCTGGGATGTCTCAATCACTATTGTGTAAATATGTTTATACCATTTTAAGAAAAGAAATATGAAAACAAAATAAAAATATGAATTTCATACCTTAACGATATAAAAATTTAAATACAAAATTAAACTATAAACTAATATCCTGATAAAATTCCGGGCCAAAAGTCGCGGAGTGAATGTTAAACTTAAAATGGATGAATATTTACCAATATTAAACAACAAAATACACTTATTTTCACTTTAGCTTTTGCTCTATGACCCATTGTTTTTTCCAAATGAAAGCTTTATTAATCATCAAACAAAAAATTCTTTCACAAGAAAAATTCAATCAAGTTCATTCACCAGTCAATTTTAGAATGTTGCATACATGTATGTCATGTTGTTCGAAATGAATTTATCACGCTCCGAATTGATGATTTCTGGAAATAAAAAATGTTCCTTACCGCATCTGAACCAACAGCAGTATGTCAAAGTAACTTTTTTATAACCTCAAGTTACCAAAGTAACCGCGCAGTTTGAAAACCTATAGATGGAATAATAAGGAATGGCAAGACAGGTGCACATGGAGGTCAAATGGTTAAGTGTTGACCTAGTTTTGACTATTTTTAAAACCTTTATAATAACCTTTCAAAAAGTTTCCTTGCAAATATGGTTAGTGTTGACCTAGTTTTATCTATTTAACCCTTATAGTACCCTTGCAAAAAATTAATCTTAATTGAATCTGTACAAATATTTTGCAATGTGTGAAACGAATTTGTTATTCCATTAATGTGAGTTTATACTTTCACAAGAAAAATTCAATTAAGTTCATTCACCAGTCGATTTTAGAATGTTGCATATGTCATGTTGTTCGAAATGAATTTATCATGCTCCGAATTGATGATTTCTGGAAATAAAAAAAATGTTCCTTACTGCAGCTGAACCAACAGCAGTATCTTAAAGTAACTTTTTATAATCTTTTATTCTATCATGTTATAATCAAAGTCACTCTTCAATAGAGTATTTGAAAACCTATAAATAGTACAAAAGGAATAGCAGGTCACTGTGTATCTTTTGCAATGTGTGAAAAGGTTTTAAGAACATGACTCAATGCAATGAATTGTGGGTGATTTAATCCACTCATGTCTTGTATCCTAGACTTTGATATCGTTCTAAGTTCTACCCCAGTCATTCAAAGTCTGGAACCAAGACATACGATGTTATTAGTATTAAATTATATCCTACGATTCAGTCCTGTGCTGAAATCACTGATAAATAATTTCATGATTTGGCCCTACGTCATTACAAGACAAGAATTCGTGTATATATTTATAATGTCAGATTAATGTGATAAAACATGGTCTAATAATATTTTTCATATTTTTTACCCATCACGTGCAATAGGATTAGCATAACCTTCCATATGCTTAAGTCGATCATGTTTTTTTCCAAATTGAAACCCAACCATTCTTCATCTGCTGTTACAGATACATCAGGTTTCAAACCTAGACCAAAGCCAGGTGTGGAACCCAATACCCTACAAGGAGGGCCCCTGGAGAATTCCTACGAAATGGCGCAGTGGCACGCCCATTGGGGTGCAAATAATTGCAGGGGGTCGGAACACACAGTCGATGGGAACTCTTTTGCAGCTGAGGTGAACACATGCATAGTTTAAGTTACAAGTCCCTAATGTTAATATGAAAATGAAATTGTCGTCAATGTAGATGTTTATGTATTTGAATCGTGTGCAGATTTGAAAAACGAGTTTTGCAGTGAAAATACACAACCGATGATCTTTAACATCCAATTTGCATTACTTATACACGTATCTTCGTTTCGTGCAGTGCAAGATGCAATATGATGTACAATGCATGGTACCAAAAATAAAAATGTTTCATTTTCTCAACAGATTCACCTGGTACACTGGAACAACATCAAGTACAAGAGTTTTGGTGAGGCCGCTACAAAAGGAGACGGATTAGCAGTATTAGGTATTTTTGTAAAGGTATGCATTCAATTTAAAAAGAACTTAATATCTTAGTGCTGTTCAAATTCCAAAGATGTGTATTTTCAAAAAACCTACAATAGAATATCATTAGAACATTGAACCAGACGAAATTTGATTTTTCATATCAGAGAAAATCAACCTGTAGTATTTTACCTTTTTCAAAAAAGGAACGTTTGCAATTTTAAAAAAAATACTTGTTCAATTACTTGTAAGTGGGTGTAGATATTAAACAACATAACATAACATGAATTTTGGTAAGAAAATAGGTTTCGATATTCAGATAAAATTATAACCAGTATAGTAGGTGTGTATAAAACTATAGGGTTTTATAATTGACCCGCAAAAAAATTATTGCAACTTCTAACCTCTGAACAAAATTTTGAGTGGTTTTATCATTTGAACCTGAACTTTTTCACCTCATTATTAATTTTTCAATAAATTACACTTAATATATTATCAAATTTTTATGTTACATTTCTGAATCACATTTGTTCAACTTATCTAGCTTAAACCCAAGGAAACCCCCATTTTAAGAAAAAACGAACAAACTGTAGTTCATCAAATCTGTTAACCATCATGTAAAACATATTATTGACCATTTCCCCCATGGTCATTTGCCCCAGCAGATTCCCTAAGTCTGTTTGAGAGTAACATTGTATGTCAAAACATATGTAAACATGAATATAAGAGAACAATTTACTTAAAGAAAAAGTCTGGAATTCGTATTGAGGGAGGTGAAGTCACACGTTTTAAGAGAACCTGTACGCGAGCATGGAGTATTTCGACCCGCGTGCATTGCTATCCCGCTCTCAATTCACTTTTTCAGTGACCCGATTACTCCTGTTTTCCGGATACCTTTATACTCAGCCAGATAGGAGAACTAATTCACATGTTCAGAGGACCATAATTCTACACGTTCCCGTACAAGTTTTTAAAAACGTGTATCTTAAGCTCACTAAATATTCTTTATTTTTAACCAGATAGGAAAAGAACATGCTGGATTGAAACAAATCACTGATGAAATGAAGAAAATTCATCACAGTGGCCAAAATGTTGATCTGGCTTCAGGATTTGACCCATCTGTATTACTACCAAGTGAGTATATTCACATTTGTTATATATACAAATACTTTTTATTTTTACATTTAGCTGAACACGTATCCATCATTTAATGAAGGACCCTAATATTTGGTTTAATTCTTAAAGTAAATCAATTTACAAATTGCAAAAATGGACCCGCGACAGTTATATATTTTTCTTATTACTAGTTAAATATCCGATATTTTCTTTGCAGACAACACAGCTAAGTTTTGGACATATTTAGGATCACTTACCACCCCACCATGTTTAGAATCTGTCATATGGATTGTACTTGAAGAACCAATAGAGATTTCAGAAGGACAGGTGAGTTATTGCTCAACAAAGTTAGTGCAAACTTTGCCACTACCATGGACCATTTTAGCCATGGTAATACTAAATTGTTCACTTAAAAAGTTATACATGACCTTAAGTTGATAATAGGTAAACATACTCATATATAAAGGAATATTATCAATGACACAAAACGGTTGCATTTGTTTATTTATTCAATATCATCCTTCATTTATTTGAAATGTCAGAATTAGATGATAGAATTAGACAGTATGTTGTATGAGACACATGAACCTACCATGGCAATGTGACAGAATCCTGTTTGATCATAAAAATACTTTGCAATTTATAGTCCTTCATGGTGAGGCCATGTTGCATAATCAACTTAAGGAATCAATAGGGGGTTCCTTTTACTTTTGGCCCATACTTATGACACCGGGTAATGACCAATATGAATTTCAACACAAATTGCATACTTCAAAAGGTCTTATCTATACAGTGAACCTTTGCCAATCAAATGGTATAACAGAAGCCAAAGAAGGTGAATGCTATATGTTCAAGCATCCTGTATGATTTTTACCAGATTTTTTGTAATAACAGTCTGGAAGTTTAAATGAGAGTACAAAGTCTCAATGTGTTTTCTTGTATTGAAAATGGGCATTATTTGAAGATGTTGAAAAATTACAATTTTCCTCAGAATGATCCAATGTGTAGTAAATTATAATGAGAGTCCTTTCGAATTATTATTGCCAATTGGCAAAATAACAATGGTGTGCCTTATAAGAAAAGGTACATCTTATAAAAGTTGTGCCTTGTATGTAATTGAAAATCAATCAATAAATTATTGGATTTCAGGTGAAAGCGTTTAGAGATCTTGTTTCTTATGCGGAAGGTCAACAACAACCAAACGATGAGTTCAAAGGGCAGATTGAAGACAATTTTAGGCCTCCACTACCTCTTGGGGACAGGCTTCTGAGGTCAAGTTTCCAATAGACAGTTGATACATACAATACCTTAAAAGGACTACTGAGATATCAACTTGTGATGGTTATTTTGCTTCTAGTGCCTGAATGGGAGTAGTTCCGACAGCGTAAGGTTATGTCGTAAATGACATACAGAAGATATGGCTTTTAGTGTGTGATCAACGAATAAGTAATTTCAATATTGTAAATAGTACCATAGCAAGCATGTTTTACTTGAGTAAGCAATGTTCAGGCATCAGATTAAAAGATGGCAGTAATGGTTTGTTTAGTCTACTTAGACCAGTGCTGCCATCTTTCAATAACTGAAATGTTCCATGACATTTTTTTACAAATATTTTGTTGATACCTACATGTAAGTGTTAAGATTGTTTATTTCTGATAACTGATAAGTAAATGAATGAATGCTCATGTACCAAATGGTGTACATGTTTGGTATACAATCAATTGACATACTGTTAATAAACACATGCGTCACCTGCAGTTCAATTCCTATTCAGTATTGATATATTTATACCAGGTATGGCTGATTGAAGAGGAAATGAATACATAAGTTGTCACTAAATCATATATTTGGAATAATCTTAACCATATTCAATACACTGTATAGAAACCACACACAATAGACATCTATAAAACAAAAGTTATATCTACATGTAATTATGAGTGAGAAAGGCTAAGATGGTGCCAAAATATGGACACTAGAAAAACAAATATCAAGACAGAAATTATATAATTGAGTTTTCTATTCATGTTTTGTATTTAAGGGCATGTCATTTGTAACCTATAGCCAAATAAACTAGTATTATAAATATATGTTTGTGAAACAATAATTGTTTTCTTTTTGTTGATTTGAAATATTGATTTCAATAAATACAGGGTGTTTCATAATGACCAAGCCCTATCCTCATTGATAGGTTTCCCTCATTTCAGTCATGTTATGAATTATTATATTTAATATGAAAGTTTGTTCAATTCCTGATTTCTTGAAAAAAAACTTCACGCTCAATTTTTACAAAGTACTCCATATGTCTTCAAATGCTACCTCTGACATTGCATACAAATATGCACAGCTAAAATACCCATATATCAGAACTAGTATCTATCACGACGTTCAAATTATTATTGTATCACATAATTAACCATGATATTAATTTCATTTTTCATTAACATTATATTAATGTTTATACCAAAGACCATGGATGGGCTCACATCACTAAGACACGTAAGTTATAAAATGAATCGGATAACTTTATCTGGACTCTGTAACAACCTGGGTGAAGTAATAGGCTAAAATCTAGCTGAATTGAGTTAGGAAAAGATTATACTCCCAAAAATAAATATATTCAGTTATGAGGACTGAGATTGTATGTGCAGTGATAGTAACGATAGGAGAGCATGTAGGATATTCTTTTCCTTACTCGATTCTGCAAGATTTTGGCTTATCCCTTCGCCTAGGATAATTATATTCGAAAATCATGTCACAAAATGTATCAGTCCTTTGAAAATGTAAAACGATACTTCCATCAAACCTGTTACAGCTGTCCAGAGAACTGGTACTCAAGCATAATATACCTATCATGGCAAATCTTGAGAGTCAATGGAAAAGTGAGCAGGCGAATTAGTCTAGAAAAGCCCGCTTTCATTTACATGTACTACAATAACAACAGTATGACATCATGATTCATTTGAATTGAATTCTAATTGCACACGGATAAGTGACATCATTAATACAAAGTGTCCATTGGAATAAAGGTTTTATATGTAATACATCAATTATGTTACTATTATTTGAAAATATGCCTTCGTTCTTGCCTAAATATAAGGCCTCCCCAGGTTGAGCCATATCTCACACATATTTGACCTCATAAGCTCTAAAAACAGTAGAACCTGTGTAAGTGGAACACCCTCCGTTCTGCCAAAAAGCGTTCCACTTAGGAGGTGTTCCATTTACAGAGGTTTTGGGTTCGCGGGGATTTAAGAACATACAAGATAAATATAGGGTTTATATGTATCACTGGAAATATGATTCTCTGTTCATTGCAGGGCAGCTATATACCATTAATTATCCATTTGTTTTACTCAAAAAGGTATCTGACATTTTTAATCCTCCTCATTTTGCCAAAAATGTTTTCTGACATTCTTAATCCTCCTCATTCTGCCAAAAATGTTTTCTGACATTCTTACTCCTCCTCATTCTGTCAGTGTCAGGCACAGAGATTTAGCAATTAGTTTTGAAGACTAGTTCCTCCTGCTTATAATTCATTTGTTTTTAACCTGGCAACATTCTTAATCTTACTTATCAAGTCAATAAACAGCAAGGGGTATTAATTAGTAGTAGAATGACATGTCCATCTCTACAGGAGGTTAATACAATTTGATGAATGATAATCTTATGAAATGCTAATTTACTGATTATCAGATTAATTAGTGGTAGCATCACATGTTTATCTCTACAGGAGGTTAATCCAATTTGCTATATGGTTATCCGTTAAAATTCCAATTTGCCAATTATCATGTTATTACCTGTTTTCATACCCAGATATCACTGTAGGAGGTTAATTCTGTTAATATAAGTATCAATATTGAAATTTATGGAAAATTGACTGTTCCACTTAGCAGGTTAAATTTTCAATATGGGGTGTTCACTGTTCAAGTTTGGAGGTGTTCCACTTACAGAGGTCTATTTAACATTAAGTCAATGGGTTTCTAAAATGGGACTTTGAATAAGTGTTCCACTTGCGAGGTGTTCCACTTATAGAGGTGTTCCACTTAGCAGGTTCTACTGTATATCCATCTATTTAAATATAATTCAAATACATTCATTTTTCCTAAATTACAATAATCAGCATTTAGACAGGGAGTCTTAATTTAAAAATATGCATTTCAGCTGTCTTAAATGTGCTATTTGTACATGTATATAATTTATTTACACATAGACTATATCATTCAAATATTTACATTGAATGCAACAATGCAAATTAAAATCTGCGTAACAATGAGCAAATTAATTTCATAATCTCATTTTATACCCCTTTATCTAGCCTTGCCCAAGTCAGTCTCTTTTACTTATCTTGATTTCTATTAATAATTCAAGATCATATAAGTAAAAATATACCGACTTGGGCAAGGCTACCCTTTAGCCTATGATTACATTTTACAATGAAAGGGGTTCTTTATAATAGATACAGAACTGCTATGTATCGTCAATTGTTCCAGCTCTAACAATCACCATTCAAATCTCAAACTTGGTATTGGATCCATAGAACTGTTAAATCGCCATTCAAAAATAATGGCAGGATCAGGATGTCTAATTTCTGTTGATATCATTCAATATTATTACAAATAACAATATTTCAATCATTGTTTCCATGACATCAATCAGTATTATTGTCTGTTGATCTCAGTGTGCATATCCAATCTGGCATAAGTGTATTCATTATTTGTTGTTTTAAACTGTCTCCATGACAACAATATCAGGATGCAATGTCTGTTGATACACTTCCTTGACTAGTTTGTCCCGTTGCCTGGAGCAAACTGGTGATGTGAACAACACTCTGGGTGTCTGACTGCATACGCTGAAGGCTCTCAGGGTCTGTCTCCATGGCAACTCCCAATTCATCTCTGTATACAAACTCTATCTGTAAACAAATCCATTTTATACCCAGTAACTGTTAATATTGAGTAAATGTATTTACTAAATGTAAAGGACATCTAGGCTTTACATAAGATTGTTCAGGATAATTAACATTAGAGCTTTGCACAAAATAGGGGAGAAATGGCATTAAAATAAGCATCAAGGAGACACTTAAGGGTTTAACACATACAACAAATAAAATGCAAGGCCTAACAAATGTTACCATATTTTGGGATTATTCATTTAGGATTTCTTTGTAAATCTTGCAGATTTTTCAATTTTCTTTCTCAGCCCTCCATGTATTTGTCTGTTCTTAAAGGATGTCACTAATGTAGTAGTCGTTACCAGTAGTCATACTTACCACATTATCCTGATCTTGATTTTCATGATCTTCAGCCTTGAGCTGTGTTAGTCCCATGGTGTCAACCTTTTCAACTTCAACATGTTCCACATTTTCATCAGGACTTTGTAGGATAATCTTCTGTTCTACATCATCTACATTAGATTGAACACTCATAATCCCTTGCTGGCCAGCATACATTTTAACCACCAGATGCTCATCTATAGGTACTTGAGATGTCATTTGTGGGGGGTAACCATCTTGTATAACAGGGTGTAAGATTAAATGGTTATCACCCGTGACCTCTAGCTGTTGAATTCCTGTCATATTCTCATTCTTAAGTAACTGTTCGACATCGTCTTCTTCAGAGTTTACATTTACGTCAATTTCTCCACGCTCGTCAATTACCCCAGATGCCTCAGTGCCATCTATATTGTGTTCAACATTCTCATTAGTAGTGATATTTATAATCTGAAGATCTGATTCTTTTTTCTCGATAACATCAACAGCTGATTCGGGAACTCCTGGACCAATAGTTCCAGTCATTATTTGTCGGTCCCCTGTGAATAGAGTAATGGCTTCTAACTGGTTGTTAGACTTGTTGCCCACTTGTGATGTCACAAGAGAGACAGGTATGATGCGTGTACCATCCACTGTCTGCAATATGTCAACACCAGGTGACTGAATAGACTGTACAGCAATCTAAAATAAAGAATTTAATGATACATTTTTTGAATTCATCGTAAGCTGTTTACATACATGTAATGTAAGACAAATATACATATAAAATTTATAAAGGCAAAATATGCGTAGATTAGATACTAAATCAGAAATCCATATTACAAATATACATGTACAAATATTGATTCATTCTGTGCCAGTCCAAAATCAGAAGATATTTTGAACACAATTGACAACAATTAAATAGATAAAATTTCAATAATATGGGATTTTTTTTATTTCCAAGCACAAAATCTTTAATTGAAAAAAGTTTATTGATTTAACTAAAGAGATCTGGCTAATTTTCACATTTGCCAAATCAATGAATGTCATTCAAATACAACAAAATTATCATTTATAAGTAAGACCTACCTGGTGGACCATATCCTGTATAGCCTCCTGTGGCAGATCTGATAGTTTATCAGCTTCTTGCTCTATCTGTACTATGATCCTCTCGAGCCTGTCATCAACCATCAGCTCTGTTGTGTATGGTATTTGCACAGTTGTGCCAGCAGGGCCTCCTACTTGATGCTGCTTTTGTAAGTGGTCACGTAACTTATCCATCCTGGAATTATTCAATTTCAACATTAATTGTGTTTCGGAAATTTTTTTCAAAAAATGCTATCAGTTTCAGTGCCCTTATTGAGGTATAATTGCTCATTTAAGGATAAATCATGATTCCAAAGTTGTCACTGTGAAATCAAGGAGGATTGGATCACATGGTTCCAACTCAATATTTCTAATCTCCAAGCAGTTTGTTCAGAGCTGATTTCTAAAGTAAAGTTTGCACAAATGAACTGCAAGGAGCATGGTCGATATTCCACTGATAGTCATGACAACAATCAATGAAATTGTTGTTATTAGGGAGTTTAAGCTTGCTGTGTTTTTCACAACCTAAACGTGAATGGAAAATATTTAAGCGATGCATTTGTATGGGCGATTGGTCATACGTATAGGTTTGTGAATCAATTTCATATGCAAGATTAAACTCCCTATTGTATGACATTTTAACTAACTATTAGTTCATAATCAGTGATCCAAATTTTCGAACCAATATCCTGTATGTGTTGGAAATAAAACCAAAACTTGCGATTCAAATTCTGAAGTGAAAAAATATCATTTGTTTAATTTTCAATTTTGTAATCATGACATGACTCCATATATGGCAGAATATCAAGTTGGAACCATGAGAACCAATCCTCCTTGCAGTTGATTTAATTCTTTACTTTATAAGCACACTGACCAGTGATCTCCCAAGGATTTTTTCTCAGGTGGGTGTAAAATGCTCATTTTCACAATTCAGACCAAAATTGGTCAAAATGTGCCAATTTTTCATGATTTTTCTCATTTTCAGGTTGATATAAATGGATTTTCAGGTGGGCGCAAGCCTATTTTCAAGATCTCAGGTGGGTGCTGCACCCACTTGCTTAAATGCTGGGGAGACAACTGCTGACTGTGAACTCCTCCTAGCACATTTTAGCCCATTACAATTCTTATACTAGGATGAAAAATTTACCCAACATGCCCCCAAAAAACAGTTTCAGGGGTTTCACTAGAAAGCTAATGGAAATCATAAATGACATGGGGAAGTCCCTAAAAACAACAGGCGATTTTGTGAAAACGATGGGTGAAAATCGCCTGTTGCCTGCTGCTAATGAAACCCCTGAGTTTGAAATTGTCACACCAAAACGCATCCCTGAAAATTTGAAATGAATCCATGAAATTGATTGGTTGAAAAATGCAACAAGCATGCTTAAAACTCATCAGTTATAGAAATTCACATCAACAACATCCCTGGCGATTTCAAACAATCCCTCAAAACCCATCTGCCACTGATCCCCACCTGGTTATGAAGATGTTACGTCTTTATAACAAAATGGATGAACTTCCATCAGAGGAATTTTTTTTCGTCATTTTCACCAAAAAGGATGTCGATTTGTATCCAAATATTCTACCCTTATGTTAATAGTAGCATCTGGTTACTGCGACCAAGACATTATGAAATTCACCAGATAATGTCCTGGTTGCTGAAGTGAGGAATTCTCACTCAACTATTGGAGCTGATGGATACATTTGCTTGTGTCTGCCTAGATTTTCAGTAACCAGACGTTACTATTAACAAATCTGTGACATATTTGGATACAAATCGACCTTATTCTTGGTGAAAATGATGAAAATAAAAATTTCCTCCATCGAAAGTTCATCCATTTTGTTATAAAAATGTAAGGTGTTACCAAGTGGAGACCAGTGAAATCTGTCCTACTAGATTTAAATAAGTACCTGGTGGTTCCAAAGTCACACTGAGGACATTTACACCGGAGAATCTTTGAATGCATCAATTTGTGTCTCTTCATGTTCTTGAGCAGAGTGAATGATTGGCCACATTGCTCACACTGGTGGGGCTTCTCCTTTGTATGAGTCAATTTGTGGTATTTCAGGTTCTGTTTCTTTGTACATCTGGATAAAGAGAAGTAAGTGGTATTATGTAAAAGTGTTTGCTTATATTTCAAGATGCACAGGTTTGCTTTGTTAAAATGATAGACATTCATAAGAAATAGAGTCAATATTAATATATGTGAATATCTCAAAAATCATTTGTATTTGAACTCAAATGTTCTTGATCTGTCATATAAATTGATCTGAATGATGCTTCTCATTTTTGCAAGTAGAATTCTACAAAAAATAAATTTTGTTTAGTAGAAGGTTGATGGTGAAGGTCTTAGGTTGTAGGATTTAACAAAATGGATTCTATGTATTATTTAATGCAAACCTTTTGAAATGACCACAAAAATGGCTAAATCTACATTGAGTCCCATACAAACTTACTTGAACTCACATCCTTCCACTTCACATTTGAAGAGATCTCCAGAGTGAATCAACATATGAGCTTTCAACTGTTGTTTGTGAGCTGTAGCATATCCACACACAGTGCACAGATGGCCCTTTGTACCTGAATGTACAACTTGGTGATTCTTCAAAGCATGTTTCCACTTGAATGTTGCATCACATTTATCACATGCAAATGGACGGTTATCTGAATGTGTCGGGTGGTGCAGTTCTAGTTGGTATCGAGTTTTAAATCGAGCCTTACATTCCCAACAGTAGAAAGGTTTGTTAGTGTCTTTGTGATTTTTGTAATGTAAATCAAAGTCTTCCTTCGAGTTGAATAAAAGATCACAATAGTCGCATTCATTACGATCACGTTTATGAGCATTTTTGTGTTCAACAATTTCCCGGGGCTTGCGTGTTGCGAATCTGCACTCGTCACATCGATGCATCGTTCCTATGTTGTGTACTGTCAGATGACGCTTAAAATGATACTTATTAGATGTCTTGTAGGTGCAATGGTCACATTTGTGGATCGCTTCTTCAGCGATTGGTTCTTTTGGTTCAGTAGTGCCATCTGTCTTTGCTGTCTCTGCCTCAACAGCAGTTGCCGCATCTGCTATCTAAAAATATTAAAACGTGATGAATTACCCATGTCACCTCTAAGTAGTAATATATTGTTACAGCTAGCAATGATCAGCATTTTGTTATCAGGGTCATTGTTGCAATCATGGGCTTTCAACTAGAAAGCCCATGTTGCAATTAATGACTTAGCCTTATTTTAGTTTTGTGACTACAAATGTATGTAATTACACTCAATACTCAATAAAACACCAGACTTTGTACAGTGCAAATTATGACACATCATCATCAGGATACAAAATACACAAAAATAGACATATCATGATGTACATAATAGGACTTTACAAATTTGTTCAAATTCAAATAAGCTAAAACATACCAGAGCAAGCCTGTTCTGCTTCCGAGGTGGACTATAATTTGGGTCATCATCTACATCTACTGCTTTCTTTGGAGGACTTTTTAGTGAAACACTTTCGGTAAAGACTTTCCTTTTAATGGGACGTCCTGCAAATAAACGATCAATACAATCATGGACTTTCAAGAGATACAATGTATGTAAAAAGTTGTAACATTATACTGCAACTCTGATAGACGACTGAAGGATTTGTTCTTGTTAGTTTAAACATATTATGAACAAGTTGATAATGATATATAAATTTCAACCATATGTATAGCGCCAAGTTGCTCCAGTGTTGGAGAGATAACTTATATTTTTGATTGTTTAACAGACAGATTGACCTCAAGTCAATTTTAAACACCACCCGAAACATTCTCCCAAAAATATGGTTTTGCAACTAGATAACCACAGATTATGACCAGTGTGATCGATAGTCAGTGGCAGGATAACCCAGGGGTTGAACAACAAAGTATGAGATTTGAAGAATGACCCTACCCCTCGATGAGCGCAACTCTACATTTCCCTCATCCGTAGTACTTTTGTCTAACTCCATCGTATCTTGCTCACCAGCCTTCGGATCGGGTGTTTTGATACTGTCAATATCGACAGGCCATGACAGGTCATCTTCCAATTCACCACCATCTTTTTCAACTGATTTTTGAAGTTTTTCGAGATACTTTCCACAAATCTTTACCACCGCTTCCATTCTCATAACTTTCGCCATGTCGACAACTTTACCAATGATGGTATCATCCAGACTTATCTTCGATGTGTATATGAAGTCAATCAAAGTCTCTACTGCACGGACGTAGATGGGTTCATCTTGTTGACTCTGATTTGATCCATCGTTGATCAAAATTTCAATAATTTGTGGAGATTTTTGAGAAAATTGTCGAGGCCCTTCCTGACTCAAGATTTCCTGAAAGTAGCTACTAGCGGCCGTCAAAATGTTAGCGTGTGCATATATCTTTTGGTCGCACACCTTCAGGACAACATCACAAAATGAACCGTCTTTTCTCTGTTCGAATAAACCGCGAAGTAGGGAGCAACTTTGTTTGTTGTCGTGGAAATCAACAGACTGTTTTCTCCCCGCCATCTTGATGACGTCGTTGTTTCGTTCTGTGTAATGGACTTCAAGCCTTCAATCACCCGGGGATTTCTATCACTTTGATATGTCCATGTCAATAATCTGCAATATTTCTTCCTGCTAAGGATAATTAGTAGTGTACTATAGACAGAATTTTTATTATTCAGTCTTGCAATTGATGGGTCAACTGAGAACTGGGCTGAGAATTCATAAATCCCACCCACAGTGAGCACGGTATAGATTATCTCGTGCCAGGACTATAGTCTATAGTCCTGGTATGGGATAAAGTATAGATCATTCATCACGTGGGCTGGCTTTCAACAGATTCTCTTGAAAGCCCATGTTCATAATAAGCTATTAAACTATTCTATGAGATAGATGGTGCCGACTGTGATCCCACCCCTCCCAATTCAATATTTCCTCCTAAGGATTTATAGATTAAGAAGTGGATAGCCGTTAGGGAATTTTGATTATTACTTACATGTACTCTTTGCTCCACATATTTCCAGCTTCACTTGTAATGGCAGTACATGTATATTGATTTCCATACTTTTAGTTTATTGAATTAAAGGTGCAACAAACATTGAGTGCAAAGGGGCCATTCAACAATCATGGACCAGTGTCAAAATATATTTAAGTTCGTTTTTTTCTTCAAAACTATATATTTTTATTTCCAAAGAAACCCCTTGGATGAACATTATTTCAGCTGATATTCCTCTTGAAACATGGTGAATCTTAAAAATCTATCAGTGGGACTCCCTCTATAAAACTTTGAACTGAATTTACACTTCTTAATGCTGAAATTGATAGCTGTATTCATACATTTTAAGAATTTTTTTTTCAAATTTTCTCTCTACAGGCCTTGTTGCCCCTTTAAATCACTTTGCCATAGACATTGGGCTTGTTTTAACCATGTCAAGCACTGTAGGATATACATGTGTAATATGATAAAACTATGATGTTGTACATGTACATGTTAGAATACCCTAAGCTATTGATAGTGTATTGTTGTTACCACCAGACATGACATACTAGAATAGTATTGTTATAGTCTCCAACTAATCTCTGTGGATAGTATTTGGCATATGAAACAGGCAGGGTTCAACGTCTGTAACAAAGTCTTACAACTTGTTTCAAATTGACCAAACACATTTTTCAAAAACATCTACAGGTTGTGAGAAGTTCAAATCTGATTTGACCTTTGGTTCCTTTGAAAGGTAAAAAAGTTGATACATCATATTGATTTTTGGATCAAAATTTAGGTAATTTTGGTCAGCTTACAGGCTTAATCACTAATTTCCTACTCAGGTCCCAAAAAGTAAAAAAGCTCATTATTCTTAACTCTGATTTTTTGTTGGCATTAAGGGAAAAACATCTGCAACAATTGTTACACCTTTGTAATCATTTGGAAATGGTGACATTTTGTCATGTAATGCCTTGTGGCATCCGCACATGATATATTAGGAACTGTTAATTAGACTGTGCAGTTTCAAACTTTCTGTAAAATACAAGTTTGATATAGTCAAAATGTGAAGTCAAATAAGTATGAAAAACTGAAGAAAATATTGAAATCAACATGATTTATTAAACTTTCTTATTCTGGTTAGTGTAAATTTCGGAACAGCCTAAATAACTCGCACCATCAATAAAGTACTGATTTTATCTATAGAGGTATTTTGGATCAGAAATAGAGCACTTTTCACGTCACAAGATGAGAACAAAAATATGAAAAATGTCACCACCTGTCATTTGTTACAGATGCCGACTGCCTTACACTTACCATCTAACACCAACCATAAAAAAGTAAGAGACTAAGACCATATGTCACCACTTTCACATAATTTTCTACGAGGCCATCCACCAGTTTGTTTTCCGTTCAATTCGTAGCAATGCATCACTGATGTTTATTTGAAAAAAATGTGTCGCCACTTCTGGTGGGTGACATAAAAATTGAAGTGAATTGGAAATGAATTCTGATCATACAGGGTGTCAAATAAGTTCCGTCCCCCCCTGCTACAGCTAAAACCTTAACAGACGGTACCTAGTGTGATATACCATTGGAAAGATCATCCAAAGTTATGTTAACTCACCAACTCTCAAGTATTTTGGATGAAATTTACCTATATTTTTATGATGTCTTTTGTAGTTAGCGTGCCCTCATTTAAGTAGCTTTTTTGCGTCAAAATGACCAGGAAATGATCTCAGAAATACATCAAAAAGTCAATCTTTTTCGCATTCCACTTGTTACAAAAAGGTTTTCACCACTTTCCTTGCACCTCTATTTTCTACACATCTAACCCTATCCAGAAATTGGTTAAATTCATCGCCATATACATATTTAGTCATCTTTTGGTCCATTGACCTTTCTTATACCCGATTCTTAAAATCCTGCCAAATACACCAAATTGCCATGTTTCTAGGCATATGGTCACCTCAATTGATCCAATGTAAAAATTTGTGAGATTGATTGACATGTGTCAGATATATGCCAATCAACGTAACTTTGGAAGACCTTTCCAGTGATATATCACACTTGGTACCAAATATCTTTGTTTTGGCTGCAGAGGGGGGGGACGAGACTTATTTGACACCCTGTATATGAGAGTATTAAAAGCCATTTACACTTTCTTAATTATTTTACTTGATAATCTGATGGAGAATATTTGAACCACACCATTCACTAAAAACTTCCACTTTTGGGTGATAGGTTTAATGTGTTACTCTCTCCATTGAACCATGGGACATAACCTCCCTTGGGAGTTGGGACCTTATGACACCTCTCCCATAAGGCCCATAACATTGAATATGTTACTTCACAAAACACTTCATTTCCATAAATATATGGTAGAGTCTTTTTTATATTTTTTTCACATTATTGATACAGTAAAACCAGAGTTTATTTCTTGCTTGGCTTCTTGTTAACCCTTGGTTTCTTTGGGTCTTTCTTGGCCTTAGCTCGGAGTTTTCCAAACTCAATGTTCACCAAACGGTTGCGCTGAAAATAAATGAAAACTTTCATTAATATATAACTTAAATGGCAGATCTCAACAAAAAAGAGTTCAACATCATCTTCCACAGATAACAGTGATAAGACCAACTGATTTTTTTTCAAATTTTGACCTCGTCTATAAATACAGAAAACATCAGATAATTTTATCTGTTAAACAAAATGTGAAATATGCAAATATGAAATGGAGCCACATCTCAGAAAGAAGGATATCATCCATGATATTCAGCCGGCAATTCCTATCAAGAATATTGGTTCATCATAAATGTGAGCTCTTCTAAATCAATATTAAATTGTGATGAAAAGATCAAAACAACTTGATTCTAAAATCTTCACGAACTTAAAGATAGGTGTTTCAGAGATGGAGACAGGTTTTCTCTGAAACATCTCTAGTTGGTGAATTTTTTATAATTTATTTTGCAATAGAAAGATGATTAGATGATATTAGTACTTACAGTTTGTTTGGCCTTCATCAGTTTGAATCTGTCGAAGTCAGTCATAGCGGCTCGCTTAAAAAATTAGATCGATATTATTAGCATTGTTGCCAGTTTTAGGATTATTCAAAGCAAGGAGAAGTTCCTTAGTTCACATTCTATAATGGGACAAGGCATTAACATCCAAAATGTCAACTGTCATTTGTTACACTCGATGAGCGCCATCCACAAAAAAAGTTGGAAACTAACAATATGACATTTCTGATGGTGAGGTAACGTAAAAAAAATTAATGTCAAATCTCTGAAAAGAAGGATATCAATGAATTTCAATATTGATCTTTCAGCCATAAATACAGAAAACATCAGAGAATTTTATAACCAAAATGTGAGAAATACATGTACAAAATACAAAATGGAGCCACATCTCAGAAAGAAAGATATCATCCATGATATTCAGCCGGCAATTCCTATCAAGAATGTTGGTTCATCATAAATGTGACAATTAACTTCTGTACAACAAATATTTGTGCTGCAGATTTAGATGTCCTATCAATGGGTGTTCACACTGGATTATATGCATTAAAAAGGTATTGAAAACCTACCTTTTCTCTGTTGGCAATCTTTTTAGCCCAAGTGGATTCTTCCCACTTCTTTGTGATCTCAGCCTTGTTCCAGGCCTTGGTGACTGTACCAACACGTGCGCCATAACTGATATCTGAAACATAATATTCAGTTATAAAACAAGGCATTATATTACAAAACGATACTGTACTGTAGCAGTTACAAAAGTGACTATTTAATGGTATCTATTATCGATGAAGAAGATACCAAACACAAGTCACAAAACTGCTGGGTGCTTCCATTAGTTCACCATATGATCTAAACATTCTACATTCTAAATGGTATTGGCAGGTCAATCAAACATATCTGGTTGATTTGACAGGGTTTCCCCTTCAGGTAAGTGTTTGTTGTATTGATTTTCAAAATCCTATTTTATAGGTATGACTGACCTACAATAGTGGCATTTTCTCTATAAAGTAAAGTTGAAATTCTACTTCATTTGCTTGTTTTGAACTTTTAGCGACTACTTAATTTGGCGGAAATTATATTCTATAAGTCTAAAATGTTGAATTCATTGCAAAATAGAGTTATTGTAATGTTGCTCAGTGTAAGGTAACAGTTGTGAAATCATAGAACTCATAAGGTGTCCTAATAGTTTTGTCATCATTGCAACATACACAAAGTCTTGAATTTGAATACTCTCCTGACAAGGTAAGTTTTAAGATAGATGAGTGACATGCGTTATCCTTCTTACCTATTTTCAATTTGGTGAGGTGGAGCATCTTAAAGTTCATCTGTTTTCTGCCTACTCCACTGCATGGGCCATCTACAAGTGCCTACAAGTACAGAATAAAGGCTATCAATATTGAGTATTGTATATAGTAAAACCTGTTTTAGTGAACACGTCATTCTATACAGTGTCTGGTTGCTATCTAATAACAATGAGGGGCCCTGTTGTGAATATAGATGTCCATGAGTTTTTATTTGCACACTTTACACCGATATCTGTTTATTTTACTTGGTTGGATTTCTTTTAGTATTAGAAGTGCTTGGATTATGTAAAGTCCATTTCAATCAGTTTGTGTGGCAATAAAACCTACAAATAAGCAATTATAAGACCCCAATGCAGTATCATATGGAAAAATACATACATGTACATATTTTAGTATATACAAAATGTTAGTTTAGATCTCTTAGTTTATCATGCAATACACCTGTTGCCTATTTTAATTTAGCGGTGTTAGTGTTTTGAAAAATTAAGTAATGACAAGTAAGGATGCAAGTTGATACTGTACTACATGTTTGCAGTTGAAATTCATTATCAATTCTATGCAAGGAATCTCATAGTTCAACAAGTTAAACCCAATACCACGGCTTTCATTTATTAATCTGAATGTTATTGTTGCCGTGATTGGGTTTAACTTCCGTGCTATGCTTTCATTTGTTGCAAATTCTCACTATCACTTATTAATTAAACGCGCCTGAAATTCTATGCCATCGCATAGACCACCATAAATGTTTTTGCATTAAGGGCTGGATAGGCGCAGAGGTTTAACCTAGGGCGGGCCACAAGATATGTCAGATAAGAAAGAAGGCCCAGACTAGGTTTAACCTGTTGAACTAGGAATCTCAGTGGCAGTTGACATACTGTACTCCCGATTTACCTTCTTCTAAGGCCACTGTATGGTGGCCTTCCTCCAAAGATAAATTCCTGCATGAACAACTGGTCATGTCGTAATCATAAAATTTGAAATCATATGTCCGCCATTTTTCCACATCACAATTTGAATTGCGAGTTTTGGTCTTATTACCTCACCAAAAATTCCAAAACACACACAAAGTGATCAGTACTGTAATAGTTCACATCTTCTGGATCGCTAACTTAGAATTTAAAGCCAGTTACTAATGTCAGACGTTAACGACATTTTTCAGTACCCTGCGTGCAGAGTCTAGTTAAACTACACTCTGCCTAGTAGAGACCACATTACAGTTTAGGAGCCCCGCCTCCACGACAGGTACCGGTGACAGTTTGGGTAATAAATCACTTTTGACCTACGCGCTGACCTTTCTTCCACCAATCAGCGAGCTTGAAGAAACATACGCCAAATGCGTTCTAATTAAATATGCGCATGTCATTGGTCAATTCCGGGCTCAACGATGACGTCTGAAGGAATGACCATATATAGAACGTCGGTCAAATTTGGCCGACGAACACTGATTGGCGCGGTGAGTTCACAGATTTATTTTAGTTTGAAAGAGTGAAGACGAAGCTCTCTTTTAAGAAGTGAAGTCAAACGAATGCAAAGGGTATTTTTTCAGTGGTTTACTTTTCAAAATTGCAAATAAATTAACATGCACCCTGGGCCCTGGACTTAGTCTAGTTTAGTCATATAAATCCGACCATCGTATGCTTTATTTGTCATTATTTTTTGATAATTTGGATATTAATTTTTTGTTATTTTCTTGCATACTAGGGTCGTACACACTTCCCGGTTGTAAATTGAGGGAAATGCTTTCCTGGCCTGTTTAGGCAACCAAAATCACACAAATTATGTATTAGAATATGCTCTTCATCGATAATGTATTTAATCCTACCTTACACACGTCAAACGCTTGATAATTGAAGAAGTATAAGAATTTTTCTGGAAACAATTTTTTTCCCCATGTGTAGATGCATTATGGGTAATGATTGTGTAAAAGTAAAACTCTAGGTGAAGCGAAAAACGAAATAACAATAAATAACAGCAGCCATATTGAGATCGAGATTTCACCTCGAAAGTTTATCATCGTCTTATGACAATTGAATCGCCTTCTCAGACACCAAGGAGGGTGAAGAAACCGAAAACAGATATGTTGGTAATAAATAATTACGATTTCGTTTTGGTTGCATGGTTTCACATTTAGACTGTATTCAGTGACCTTGAGTGACCTTGAGAACCATATTGGAAATTGGTTCAAACATATACGAAAATGATTACATTTCTTCAATTATCAAGTATTTCCTGTGTTTAAGGTAAGAGTTAATACATTCTAGTTGAAGCATTGGATCCATTATCTTATCTGTGTAACTTTTGTTGAGCATAGAGGGCAGAAAAGCATTTACCGCAATATACTGGCCTTAATATCCTCGATGCAAATGTTGAAAACAAAAATAAAAAACAAATATTCAAATCGTCAAAAAGAAACGTGAAACAACAACATTAAGTCGAGTTCACTTGACTAAGTCTAGTTCAGAACCAATTATACATACCCTATTTTGGTCGATGACATCTACAATAGCCACAAGTTTGCCTTTGTCGGGGCCGTATGCAATGTAGGCAACACGCCCAATCTCAACATAGCGGCTGAAACCCTAGGAAGGAAAAAATAATATTATCATGAATGACTAGATTAATTAAAAATTTTCAACATAAGTGATATTTGGACTTCTCCTGTACAGCGGTGAATAAAATCCATACACGTTACTTAGTTGAAAGAACTTCCGAGGTTGAGATGAAATTTTGAGAGAAAAAAATGACCTATTTTTCGAATAATATTTCATAAAACTGGATATACCTGACCACCAAATGACAGTGATAATTGAAAAATAGGGGCGGTAGACCGTGTATAATGTCAGGATTGCTTATATAGGTGTTTATATACGTTCGAACTTAACAAAATAAGGAAATATTTAAAATCTAACCACTCACCATGCTGGAAATTTTGTAAAAGGACGTTCATCCGAGAAAATACGAGACTTGTAATTTATTTGGTCATTACGACTTCATTCACAGATATATCGATATAAAATAATTTTTATTTAAAATATTTATAAATTCTCTTGGAAAGATATGTTTGATGCCGATTCTGAAAAAATATATTAAGATAAAAATCACGTGACTTGTTTTGGTTCAAAATGGCGAATGTTAAAAAAAATGAAGTTGGGACAATTTTGCAATAGTTTAGTCCATTTATTTCATCTTGTATATCATATGACTTAAAATGAATACATTAATTAAACGGAGTCTTGTTAGGTTTACATCTAAGTCCCATATTTTTACTAATCAATGTCGTAGTCGTGCAACAAAGGTAGGTTTCATTCAAAATTTTAAAGTTCAGTCAGTAAAAATTTACTAAATTTTAAATCATCATCATCATCATCATCATGTTTAGGAGGGTAAGGTTAGTCCTGTGTTTGGAATTACTTTGCATTTACAAAATAAGCAATCAAACGACTATATTGCAACAGTATATGAAAAAATGGAAACAAAAGTGCTCAACATACAGTGGGGAACATAAAGAATTAATTACTTTAGCTATGAAAATGACATGCTGTCGCACATGTAATAAATTCTTACATCAGTGTTTTCAGTGCTCTATTTTCTCCGTCCTAGTAAGTCCAGATATAGTGGAATTTGTGTCCATAATGATAAATGAGAACTTAAAATTTGAAGTGGATATTCACATGTTAATGCCGACTCTTCAAATGTTGAGGTGATTTTGGAGTCCGATTACGCTGCAATGCGGATTGGCTCCCAGAATGCAACATGACACGTGCCAGCTTTCAAAATGCTGTTCCGCCATTTTGAAACCTGTCACGAGTAAATAAGGTTAACTGATGTTGCATTCTGGGAGTCAATCCTCCTTCGATTACAAACATGGGGATTCATGAAAACATTCATTCGATATGGTAGGGATTTATCAATCATTTGCAGGTATGAAGCTTTGGATTCATTTATCATGCACTTAAAGTGAACGGGAATTATTTTTCTACCGCTTGAGAGACTTTGAGACACGAAACTTAGAATTTAGCTCATTGTGACAACTTTTGATGGTTGAGGTTTATTTTTGTTCCTCACTTTAAATAAATGACACCTGGATTTTCTATCACCATTTCCAGATGGTGATTTGAGACTTCATACTTTCCAATAATGTTTAGATACACATCCCTTAAGTTTTGTATATTTTACATTTTGTATACTCTCATCCACTGATGTATAGCCTCTTGAAAATTCTCTTCTTTTTATCATGGGAAATCCTCACTTCAGCAAATCCAGGTGTCATTTATTTATGGTGAGCACTGTACAAGTCCTAACTTTTGTATATTTCAGATAGTTACAGTATAATGTGCAGCAAAGCTGTGGCCTTTTGTAATTCAGGGAGCTTCAGCCATGTTAATCTTTTCGAAAATAACATGGCAGAGAAGTATCAAAATATAAGAGGCCACAGATATGATAGCTAAACTACAAAACAAACTAAAATATAAAAAAATTAGGACATGTATAAATGTTTCTATTTTACATATTCTGTTTCAATAGCTTATGAGGGTACATGTGCAGATGGCACGATTCACCATATTCTATAAAAGTAGGGCATATTCATTAAATAGTACCCCCAAAGACCCCTTAGAAAAAATTAAAAACAAGCAATAATATACCCCTAATTGAAAGATATTATTTAAATATACATGTTATTATCTAATTATTTTTGAAGAATACATGTATACAAATCCAACGGCATTTCCTCTTTTTCAGGCATCATTATTGTCCAACCAGTTGGTAGATGAGTTATCAGGAGTGTTGGGTGATGAGAATGTATCTAAGGCAGAAGTGATTAGAGAACAGCATGGCAAAGATGAGTCATATCATAGGTACATTATAAACATATTCACTATTTTAAGTTAAGTTTGTGTTTGTCAACTACGAGCAACTTGTTACTCAGTATCAAGGCAGTAGTTATGCTTAGTAATGTACATGATGTACATTTACATGGGGAAGCTTTCAGAGAAATAGCTGAAGAAAGGGTATATGATTTGGTTAATATGAAATTGGCTGACAAAGGTGTTCCACTTATAGGGGTTTATTTGACAATAGTCACTTGTACATGTATTTTGGTCTTTGGACTCTGAAAAGTTCAATTAACAGGGGTGTATCACTTCTAGACATGAATATTCAATCTTAAAAAATGCTTCAGTTTAGCAATAGTTGAGCTCATTTATATAAAAAATACTATGTTTAATGTGAAACATTTTTATTGCCAGTGGCCAGCCAGCAGATGTTGTTGTATTTCCTACCTCTACGGAAGATGTCAGTTTAGTGGCACAGTTTTGCAATCGCAATAATCTGCCAATCATACCATTTGGCACTGGGACAGGCCTTGAAGCTGGGGTCAGTGCAATTCATGTAAGTTAGAAATTACAACAGAACTTGTCAGTGTGTACATCTCTCCTTAATTAACACATTTCAGACTCTGTGCAATTTAAGTGCGTTGTACATGTAAGTTGAAAGTTACAATTGTAATGTCAGTTTGTACTTTCCATGTATTTCATGTTAATGTTGTTTTTGTTACATTTTAATTTTACTTTATACAGTATAATTTATTGTTTCCTTAGTAACTGACTCATTAAAAAGTAAAAATAGATGATAACAAAATGCTGTACTGGAGGGGGGGACTCAAGTTATTTTGCTATTTTGAAAAATGTTAATATTTTTTTCTACTCTCTCCTCATTGTACATTTACTGTACATGTATACATGTACACCCTGTGCTGGATTTTTAGATCTCTCACATGTACATTTAGTACCATCTTTAGATTTGAAAGAGCTTACATTAATATTTTTAAACACATCAATTATCCAAAATATATACTAACTAATCCATATATTCATGTGTACATTAGGGAGGAATATATACTAACTAAACAATATATTCATGTGTGCATTAGGGAGGTGTGTGTGTAGATCTGTCAAAGATGTGTGAGATTGAAGTTAATGTTGAAGACTTTGATTGCACAGTCCAGCCAGGTGTCACAAGGATAGCGCTGAATACATTTTTGAGGGATACAGGTCTTTGGTTCCCTGTTGGTAGGTACATGTACAAATGTACAGTTCTCTTGAAATCATTGTTTTGCCCATATTTTCAATTGCTCAAATGCTTATCAGGTTAGATTTTTCAACCTTGCATGCTTTTGAAATGATAATGTTTAATTTGATAGATTTATCAAAATATTATTTTGTGGAGTTAATTAAATCAGATTTAAGGCAAAACAAGATCATTCCACAAAGACGACTTTTCTCTGGGAAAAAGTAAATAAAATTGATATTTCAAAATCCCATTTTCAATCTAATTTTAATCAAAATACACGTATATTACTTCATTCCATTGCTTATTTCGTTAAGTAGTACATGTATCTAAAAACAAATGGAAAATATTAACATATACAGATTATACAATTACAATGGTCTTATTAAAAGCTAAACACAAACTACTGTATTCTCTACAGATCCTGGAGCAGATGCATCACTTTGTGGAATGTGTGCTACCAGTGCCTCAGGAACTAATGCTGTACGTTATGGCACCATGAGAGAGAATACCCTGAACCTAAAGGTGGTCCTAGCAGATGGAAGAATCATAGAAACAGCTGGGAAAGGAACACGCACAAAGTAAACATATTAATGCATGTTAATCTTCCATGTTTTGCAAGACATTATGCAATTATGATATGCAATGCAATACAATATGATGCAATAAAAATAGTATGCAATGCAATATTCCATAGAGTTTTAAATCATTTTAAATATGGGCATTCTCTCTGCTTTTATATTTAAACACGCTAGACATGTCACTTTTACATGTAGCTCTATGATAAAACAAATAATCCATTGAATCATTGAGTAACTTAACTTGATTCCTTACAAATTTTAAAATATAGGATTTTTAACCATTTAAATGTTTTAGTAGATATCTTCTTATAAATTCTAGGAAGAGCTCTGCAGGGTATAATCTGACAAATCTGTTTGTTGGGAGTGAGGGCACACTAGGTCTCATCACCAAGGCAACGCTGAAACTCTATGGAATACCAGAGGCAGTAAGACACCTTCTTAAACTTATCTGAAACTACATGAATGTCATTCTTTTTTTGTTATATCAAAGTGATGGTTTTACATACTGCAAATGAGTATTATCTGTAGTATAGAATTCAGAATTTTTCATACAAATAACATGAATCCACTTACCTGTTTGTTAGATAATAATATAATTTAATGTAATATAACTGATTCTTTTGTAATGATTTTAACCTGTGCCATGGGTCCTCATCTTTAAAATCATACTGGCATTTTGTTTATTGAACCCCCTACCATGTCCATGTTCACAAAGTGCCATTATACAATACATACACAGTACAAATTACAAGACATTATTATTTGATTTATCTAGATGGTGTCAGCGGTGTGTCATTTTCCCAGTGTGCAGTCAGCAGTAGATACTACTGTCCAAGTTTTGCAGTGTAATATACCAGTTGCAAGGATAGGTAATTTATACATCCATATTGCTTCTTTTAATTCACAAGAACAATGGATACCATGTACGTGTATTTACATTGTACATTGTATATCCCCTGAATTATTATGTTATAAAGAAGTTACAAAACATGTATGTCTGTGAGTTTGCAATATACATATATATTTAAATATCAAGCTAACACGTTAACTAACACTGTTTACTATCAGTATTTTTTCCAACAAAGGTCATTTACTTGACAACACAAGATTAATCTAAATGAAAAATTTGGCCCCCAAAACTGTCTCATAGACAGATTCATTAAAAATGTAAACATCTACAATAATTCAGTGTCCCAGAACAAATAAAGCATGCATCTAATCTTTTACATGTATATTCCAGGCTGTAGAGTTGCATTTTGTTTATTCAGAATTTCTTGATGATGTCATGATGGATGCTGTAAATCGCTATAGCAGCATGGACTATCCAGTGGCGCCATCTTTGTTCCTAGAGTTTCATGGATCTGAGTCTCATGTCCAAGATCAAGCAAAGGCAGTAGGTTTGTATGTTTTGAATTATTGTTACTTGTCTGCATATAGTTAGCAAATTAAAGAGGTTATACTGTCGCTATTTACTAAGTGTGCATTCGTTATATCCAAATAATGATTACCCAATTAGCATTTGAAGAGATTTATTGCCAACTGCTGAGAAGTCCGATAGCCACCAACTACCGAGTGGCGGTCGACTTTTGACTTAACTATCTATCTTATCTGTTTACCTAATCTTTCAAATGAGGGTTATCATTCAAAATATCAATAGGCTATCCTGGACCCTGTTGCTTTAATAGCTTTATTGCATGATAACTATCTCAAACTAACACCAAATGACAACATGTTCGCTAGAAACCTCATAAAACAGATTGTATTACTTCATCACTAGTTGCAATATTTTCTAACAAATACACAATAAGTCTTCAAAAACGCTTACAATTCTCCCACTTCAAAATAATTACAAAATAATGTATCTTAATTGTCTTGTTATTTTCTAATCATCCAATAGGTTCAAAGGTTATTCATGGGGCATATTATTTAACAGTCCATATTGTTCTCTTTTTTTAAAATAAAAACGTAATGTTTACTTAATTGAAATTGAATCTTGTTTTGTTTCAGGAGAACTTTGTGAAGCCAATGGAGGCTCAAGTTTCCAATGGGCCAAAGATGCTGATGAAAGGAATCGTCTCTGGAAGGCACGTCATAATGCTTTCTATGCTTCCCTAGCTCTCAGGCCAGGCTGCAAGGTGGGTAAATATGACCATATAAATATTGTATACTACTTTTTTTAAACAAGGATCAATATTTTTCAAAAATATATAAATTAACTCATGACCTAATTAACATTTAATATAATATTAAATGATATATTATAAAAAGTAGACAGAAACTGGATAACTTTACATTTCTGTAGCTTATTGTCTTTAATTCTGTATAATAAGATGTGAGTCAGGTGCCTGATGATATCTTCAACTGAAGGACTCTTAACCCGATTCAGCCTAAATGTACCTGACCTAACACAAAGCTCCGACCTTGACACTACCTAGCACATATCTATGTGACATTGACCATATCCAGTCCACATTAACCTGACCTTGACCCAACCTAGCAAATATTGATTTGACCTTGACCAATCGAAGCCAATATTGATTTGACCTTGACCCTACCTACAGTAGCACATATTGATCTAACCTTGACCAACCCCAGCCCATATATGGATTTGGCCTTGACTCTATCGAGCACATATCAACCTATCCTTGACCAGATACAGCCCATATTGATCAGAGCTTGACCCTACCCAGCCTATGTCCACTTAACCTTGACCCAACATAGCACATATTGACCAGACCCTGACCCTACTGACCCGACCCTTTACTGATTACAGCTGCCATTGCTTACATTCTGCTGAGCTTGAATTCCACTTAATTTCTGTGTGTGTCTTTTACGATGATCATGCTTACATTTTACTTTCAAATAGGGATTTGCTACAGACTGCTGTATTGCCATCACACAACTAACAGAACATGTCATTGCAATGAAACAAGACATTAGCAAATCTAATTTATTAGGTAACTTCCAGCACATTCTGCACTACTGCACTGCACTGAGACCATGATACAAAAATGAACCCAGCCTGTCCAATTTCCAGCTTCTTACATGTTTTTGCTTCCATGTTACATACATTTACATTTGTTCTTTACTATTTTGTACAGCTTAGCCTATAATGCCATAAAGGCGATTGACAAGCCATTATGTATGAAGAAATTGTATGATGAAATAAAAAAAAACTGCACTGCAATTTTACAAGATAAAATAAAAAATACAGTCGTTAACCCCTCTTTTGAGTTAAAACATATTAAAAGTTATACAATGAATAAAAATTATTAGGACAAGTTATGCCTCTTTTGACATAACTATCCTTCACAAATCGTCTTGTCATACTGAAAAAGAATTTAGTCTTACTACTTTGGTGGCATAGTATTTTGAATTAGGGTCAAGATAAGACCTCTCTTTAATTTTATTACAAGAATGGATGAAACAATCAAAGAATATTCCATCTTAACCTTTTTGGACAAGTGTTTTTATAAAATTCCAAAACTCCTTTGAATTGTTATCACTGGTTTTATCACTAGATTCTGAAAATCTCTGTTTATCAAACAAAATAACTTCATATATAAAAGCATTTAAGCATTGCAAAGTTTTTTCATACATGCTGTTCCATAATACACTAAATTCACCTGTCCAATAAGGTTTCTTTAAAATGACCTTGCATTTTTCAAAATAATCCACGCATATTTTATAAATTCCACAGCTTTCCTTTAGAAACACTTATTGCATTTTCCTATAAATATGCTACTGTATTACACAAATTCAGGCACACTATTTTTTCAATGCATCATAGATTCCTTTTTAATGGCTGCAATTTGTAGAATTACTGTAAAACAAGAAATGTATTATGTATCTTCAATGAATGGAAACAAATGTACAGAATTTGCTCTTCCAAATTAAACAAAATCGAGCAGTTATGAGATTAAAACTAGAAAGATAAGGATTAGATGCTCAAACTGATCTTGTTTTACTGTATATATTCAAATGTTTTCCTTTGTGCTTTTGTTGCAAAAATTAGTTGATCAAATGTTTGCATGTGTTGGAAAATTTAGTTGATCAAATGTTTTCCTTTGTGCATGTGTTGGAAAATTTAGTTGATCAAATGTTTTCCTTTGCGCTTGTGTTGCAAAAATTAGTTCATCAAATGTTTTCCTTTGCACTCGTGTTGGAAAATTTAGTAGATCAAATATTTTCCTTTGCGCTTGTGTTGCAAAATTTAGTTGATCAAATGTTTTCCTTTGTGCTTGTGTTGCAAAAATTAGTTGATCAAATGTTTTCCTTTGGCTTGTGTTGCAAAATTTAGTTGATCAAATGTTTTCCTTTGGCTTGTGTTGCAAAATTAAGTTAATCAAATGTTTTCCTTTTTGCATGTGTTGGAAAATGTAGTTGATCAAATGTTTTCCTTTGTGCTTCTGTTGCAAAATTTAGTTGATCAAATGTTTTCTTTTGCGCTTGTGTTGGAATTCAGCCCAGCAGTGTGTGATAGAATGTTCTCCATGTTTCAGTCCATAACGACTGATGTTTGTGTTCCAATGACTGAACTGCCAGGCAACATCGTCAGCACAAAGGAAGACATTTTGGCAAGTGGGCTCAAGGGTATGTGAACTAAAACATTGTGAACAAATTGCGAAAACATTTTGGAAAAACAAATCTATAGTATTAAACATACAAGTACCCTTTCTAAAATAACCAAATCCTCATCTAAGAACTCAGCAAGAACATATACCAGCTCATAATGAGTCAACTGATGCAATGCATAAAAAGTCATTATATTGATTATAAATTTGATTTTTTCATCGATAGAATTTATGTTAACATTCATATAAAACACAAAAAAACATGTAACAGCTTTCCTCATAAATGTAGAATTAAAATCCACTTGAATAAACCTAATATTTCCAGGGTGAAAAAAAATGTAAAAAAAATCCTTCAAAATCTCTGTTTCAGGCCCTATAGTAGGCCATGTTGGAGATGGTAACTTCCACTCACTTCTGCTCGTTGACCCCAGCAGTGAGTCAGAGCTGCAAGAAGCAAAACATCTTGCAGATAGAATGGCAAGGTACAGTACAACAATACCGTGTAATAACTATATTCTATGAAAAAGTATATTCTAGGTTGGGCACAGCCAAACCCCTTCACTTCCACCATTTTATGCCAGACTTTGTCACATATAGATGCTATTGCACATGTACATACTATTGCACATGTAAATACTATTGCACATGTACATATATACTATTGCACATGTAAATACTATTGCACATGTAAATACTATTGCACATGTACATACTATTGCACATGTAAATACTATTGCACATGTAAATACTATGACAAATATAAATACTTTGTCACTTATAAATGCTCTTGCACATGTAAATACTATGACATATATAAATACACTATCACTTATAAATGCTGACACGTCAGAGCTACAGGGCGCCTATGACATATATAAATACTTTGTCACTTATAAATGCTATTGTACATGTAAATACTATGACAAATATAAATACTTTGTCACTTATAAATGCTATTGTACATGTAAATACTATGACAAATATAAATACTTTGTCACTTATGAATGCTATTGTACAGTACATGTAAATACTATGACAAATATAAATACTTTGTCACTTATAAATGCTATTGTACATGTAAATACTATGACAAATATAAATACTTTGTCACTTATAAATGCTATTGTACATGTAAATACTATGATAAATATAAATACTTTGTCACTTATAAATGCTATTGCACATGTAAATACTATGACATATATAAATACTTTGTCACTTATAAATACTGACACACATCGATACTGTGTCACATATAATTCCTTTGTCATATATAAATTATGTATCACATATAAAATTTAGTTAGTATGTCACATGTGAATACTATGTCACATGTTAGTATGTTTCTGTTGTAATTTTTCCAGGAGAGCAATAGCTGCAGGTGGCACATGTACTGGAGAGCATGGGATAGGAAAAGGCAAGCGCCATCTTTTGAAAGAACAGTTTGGGGATGTTACTATGGATGTAATGGGACAGATCAAACAATCATTGGATCCTAAAAACCTTATGAATCCTGGGAAAGTTCTGTAGAATGAAGTGTATTCATATGAGGACTGTACCCTCTCTGGGTACATTATACAAGAGATTGAATGTTATAAGCCTATTTGGCTCTCAAATATTTTTAATACAATATAATAATATTCAATATTCATATAGATAGCTTGATTTATGGTAGATTTAGTGCATTTTAAATAGCTGATATAATTAAACGTAATGTTGCAGAAAATATAATAATCATTGTGAATAATGTCTATGTAAAACTGCCAAAGAATTATTGTTGGTGCCATGTAAATTTCATATACTATCAATACATGTATGTCACAGTCTGATATTAATGGCTAGAAATGCTTTGGAAAATGTAATGTACTGTTGTTATTGATGCTCTTTATGCTAAAAAGTGCAATTATTCTTGAACACATATACTTACATAGTGGCATAGCGAGTATTACAATGTTTATATGGAGTATCTACATATGTGATATCTAATCAATTTAAAGTGCTATCATGTTTGAACTATAGAAGGGAACATGTTCATTTATCTACACTTGGTCATTATACTAAGATTATGTGTTAATTTTAGTTGTTAATTTTACTTTTTGAATATCCTGTATGTTATTGACATCTATATCAATTGTTATCCCATCGAACTAAGTTCGGAGGGATATAGGGATCACCTCCATCCATCCGTCCGTCCGTCCGTCCGGGCAATAACTCAAATACTGTTGGCCCGATTTTGTTCATATTTTGTACACATACATGTATACCCTATGGAAGTAGAAGTTCTGCTCGAAAGCCGATTTTCAAAATGGCCTCTCATTTAAAAATGGCGGCCATTTTAGTGCCGATTTACCAGTAATTTAAGTGCAATATGTAAAACTGAAATAGCAATATGTTTTAAATGCAAAAAAATTATATAGGACATTAATAAAGCTAGAAATGTAGATATTAAAGAAGCACATGGCAGCCATCTTGAAAAATGGCCGCCTTTACTCTTCGTTTTACGATTTTTGCTGTAACTCGGAGCGATTTTGTTCATATTTGGTATGTGAATACTAAAAGCATGGCACACTGTCTAATGACACTTTTGGTAGAAGGTGGCCATTTTAACGTTTTTTACTATAACTCGAAAAGTAGTGGAGTGATTTTGTTCACATTTGGTATGTGGATACTATAAGCATGGTACACTGTCTAATGAAACTTTTGGTAGAACGTATTTTACATTTTAACGTATTTTACTATAACTCGAAAAGTAGTGGAGCGATTTTGTTCATATTTGGTATGTGAATACTATAAGCATGGCACGCCCTCTAATAACACTTTTGGTAGAAGGTGGCCATTTTTAGAAATGGCCGCCATTTTAACGTATTTTACTAAATCGAAAAGTAGTGGAGCGATTTTGTTCATATTTGGTATAGTATGTGAATACTATTAGCATGACACACTGTCTAATGACACTTTTGGCAGAAGGTTGCCGTTTTGAAAAATGGCTGCCATTTTTGCTATATTTGTAAATATGGGATGGGATTTGCTACGCTTTGGCGTTGCTGTTGTCTAGTTTTTAAATGTGATATAATACAATACAATACAATACATATGCAGTTCTATAACCTTTGTGTATAAAAGGGTTAAGCTTGCTCAATTAAATGAATAAATATTTTTTGTACAATTTATGTAAGCATCTGGTTCTTTGAATGTACTGGTAACCTTTCAACCCAAAACAAATTATTTTCTTAAATTTTTATTGTCAAAAAATTCACTTTAAATCATAAGTTTATAGCTTTTTGACCACCTTCATCGCTGAACCATGGGCATCCCAGCATACCTTCTTGCCGTCACATGTCACATAGTAGTACTTTGCACCAGTGGTAACATTGGGGTTAGATTGCCTGAGTACCAGATTGTGGGAGTGTCCACTCTCCTCTGTGGTGTCGACAGTTACTGCCTAGCAACACAAAAAAACAGTATCACACATCGATGGACCATAAAACATAAATCAACCCTGACATCTGTTGAGACCACTGATCTGTCTGTGTTTTTTTATTTAACCTACCTATACAGAAATATTAAACGCATTCCAGGAAGCTTAATGGATGTTGAACTACAATGCGAATCTATAAAAAGTACAAAATCTTTTATTTGACTTACTCTCCCTTGATAAAGGCCTATATTACTGTTTTGCTGCCAAAATTTGGAGTTTTTGCTAGACTTACTTTGCCTGCATTTAGGCTTTTAACCTCTTCCCCTGAGAGGAAGACAGTATGTGTGTGCTCCCCAGGTGGGTTCTTCACTGTGTAGGCCATGGTGAGAGTGACCCCTTTGGGTGCGGGAGGGCCGGTAGGTTTAGGACCCGTTGATCCACCTAAAGTGGGAAAGCGCAGAATATTGAAATGCATGAGTAATACTGTACGTTGTGTGAAGTTTTGCAAATGACTGGAGACATCCCAATAAAACATCAATGAAGTAATAATATCCTGGGTCTAAAATGAAAACTTTAAACCGGTTCTCCATAAGATACTAGAAACAAGGAATCCCACCACTGCCACCAAAAGTGTAATACAATTCAAATAAGTGAAATAAAGTCCTCAATGCTTTGCCCACAGCATGCAATCATACCATTTACTGGTGGTGTTCTGTATAGTTTCAAGAATTTCTTCTGCTCCAGGACTACATCCTTCAGCGCGTCCAGCTCCTTCCAGATGGGGGATCCCTCAACGTGAACGGGCATGATTGGGTAACGTGTACGCATTGTACCGATGCCAGGGATGTTACGTAGATAGATACGAGTTCCAGATGCAACGACCGACCTATAAAACAAAGAGGAACTTTATACTCACATTGTATTGAACGTCAGTATAACTAACAAAATATTTATCTCGTAACCAGTATTTAGACGCTTACGTTTTTCCGTTTTCAAACTTTAGATAGTCCAAAGGCATCTATAATCTTAATTTGTTGAAATAATTCTAAACTTGGCCTACATGACTTATCAGCTTATAATAATTAATATTGCACCTCATTTACCTGACTTCACCATTCCTGTCTAAGACTCCAGCAACGCCCTTGGCCGTATCAGCGCGATCCTTATTCACTTCGTTTCCATTGAAGAACTCGGCGGGTGTCTTGTAGTATACCTTTAATGGAGATGCAAGAACGAAAATTACATTGAAATTAATTCCTAAATTGAAACATACACGATGAGTCACCATAGTCAATATTTGATTGAGAACCCGGAATTGAGAATGAGAAATCAAAGAAATCCCACCGCTGCCACCATATAATTAAAGTAAGGGTGCCCTCTCAGTCAGTTACAATAATGGAAAAAGTTTTATATGTCCTTTTATATGGCATGATCATGTGCAAAATGAATACTAGCCTATACAGAAATATTTCATCTTTGATTATCAGAGAAACACCGTTACTCACTCTGCTGTTGATTCCGTTATATGCAGTTTGTTTGGTGAGTCCACCATTACGCATCTGTCCACCTTTTACGGCGGGCATGTTTACTGTGCGACCAAGAGGTCTGTTAGCTTCACCCTTGTATTCCAGATCATATGGATTCCAGTTATATAGGGGTGTCAGGTAGATGACCTCGAGGGGAATAGCGTATGTCCATCTTTGCTCGTATGTCTTGCATGTCCTAAAATACACCATTGGCTTTACATGTAGTATCAACTGGTAGCCTATATTGGTATGTCCATGCAAAGCTTTCGGATACATATTTATTCAAACGCTTTTAAAAAAACGGAAATGAAGTCGAAATACAGAAATGTAGCCCTTTAGCGTCATTTTGGCTTGCCTAATCTTCGATCCTGCATCCACTCCTGAATTAACACTTGCATGGTGACGGTTCTTTCATTCAAAATGGATGTACATGTATGGTGTTGGTGGCTGGATAAACACACACCCGAGTGTTTACCAAATCAGACTTAACCTTCTTTCACAACATGAGCAAGAAAGGGGGTGCAGTTACCCACCTCCCCAATTAAAAAATTCGGCGATGGAACATTAAAATCAGTGGTACTATCGGAAATCTTGAATGTGCATTAATCATATTGTCAGAAGTTGAGGATAAGAGGGGAAAACATCATCATACCTTTTCCTTGCTTTGCCTTTGCCAGACATTTTGCAGTCTGTTACTCTCATTGGAGCTACATTGGGTTGGGTAGTCATTGCCATATAGACGTTGTTGTCGGCATAACCACGTGCTCTTACATTCACACCCATGGCATCTCTACGCATTACCTGAATCAGACAGATACTTGATACAAAAATGCTACAACATCAGCAATACCATCGTATGCTATACTAACAAATTTCGAGAGAGCACTGTTTTTTGTGAAGCCTTTACCTCAATCTGCCCCTCGATTGTGTTTTAAACATTTATGTTATGAATATTTTTGAAGTGTAACAAACATTTATTTGAATTACATGTTTGTTATTTTGAAATTCAACGCGAATGTAAACTGGTCATGTTTTGTTGTACAAAATGGTATAAATGATAATCGAATTTGAAATAAATTAATTTACACGAAAAAGTAAATGTTATTCACAAAAATATAACCCAAACTGGACAAGTTTATGCGCAATATTCTTAAACATTAAAAGCTCTAATTCTTACTCTAAACCAACGGTGATAATATGCAGCATTCAGTGGCACGGAGACATTTGTGAACGTTGCACTTGTGAGACCGAAGGAGTCATCCACGAGGTTGGCTCCGAAATTGTCTTTACCGGGAATTTCTTCCATGATGGAGTCAACGAAACCACGTTTGATAGGACGGTCTGTTTTAGGCCAGCTGAAACAGAAATATTCAGACGATGCTACTTCCTGTACTCTGTAAAATCAGAGGTACTGTAGATCTAGCAATGTCCAAAGAATGGTGTCCAATTCCAAATGTCGTTTGTCTCATAATATCTTTATCAAGGCTGGCTGTAATGACCAAGCTGGTATTCCTCACGAGAAAGAACTGTTTAACTTATGAACAAATAAAACTAAATTATGTCAAATCCTATTTCCCCAGTGTCATGGACATGTCCACACCCTTCATGTTTGCAGACGGAGCCCGTGGGAAATATTTGGAGCAGTAGATATGAGCGTTTGGTACGGAGGCAACGGTCATTTTTTTATTTGAATTTCGAATATTTCTGAAACTAAGCTGTTCTGGGACTAATACTCATATTTGTGTCGTAGACATCCAATATCAATAAAATTGTGAACATAGTAATGTTATTCATTCTAAAGCGACGCGGCATGCACTAAACCTATCCACGACCTATATATATTTTGAAATTGTTGTTTTAGACAGCCTCCCTAAACGTTGACGTGATCCAAGCCCGGGTCCAAGTACTCTCACAACACAAAAAAATCATAATATCATCAAACGATAAGTTCTTTGTTTATTGGGCTCTGCCACACCAAATATTTAGAGGGGGCTCATATCTGATGAACATTTCCGAATATATATACAATCACACAGAAACTTGCTTCCAAGATGCAAAAATAATATTTGTATTGATAGCGGGGACGCTGTATAAAAACGACAATTCCAAATTATATATAGCTCGGGGACAGGTTTAATGCATACTGCTTCGCTAAATAATGAATTAATCACACAACTATTTTCACAAATTTATTGATATTGGGTGTCAACTACACATAATATATGAGTATGAGTCTTTAACTCCTCTGCAATGACTTTAAATTCCCATCATAGAGATTTATATACACAGTCTTAGGTAGCATTTGCGAATTCAACTGTAGGCTGATGGTTTAACCTATTTTAATATTTCATTATCATGTTTTATTATATCATTTAAATATGAATGGAATAATAATGACAGGTACTTTTCCACTCTAAATGAGTTGGGTATAAGAAAGTAGGTTTATCCGGCAGTTGAATTTGCGAATTCTACCTTCGTTTTAATATACATACTTAGGATAGGGGAAAGGATTGATTTGGAACCTAGCAGCTCTGGATTCACTGTGTTCCTTCATCGTTTTCTTGTTGTTGGACACCCTAGCAGCAAGGTCATCGACCACCCTAAGGCGCTTCAGGGGGATATCCTTGTTGACTGGGCTGCACACGATACGGTAGTTCCACTGTGCGAATTCTGGAATGGTTCCGTTCATCATGTTCATGATTTTCACAGGCAAGTAAGCGTAGTTCTCAGCGTTGCTTTTTCGTCCAGTGTAGGAAGTAAATCGGATCTTTTCCTACAATATCATAACAGAGACATATATTAACATTTTCTATATGTCTCGGATTAAAATATTTCATATTCTTAATTTTTAAATTATTTTTATTTCAATAATGTTCAAATTGTGAGACAAAATCAATGTGTAGTTTATAGTAAGGTCCCTGGAATAAAGAACTTGTGATTTAATTCTAGCATAACGATGATAAGGAAATATAAACAGACTAATGTTACCTGTTGGCAATAAAATGAACATTCTACTTTGAGTTACATTGTTATGGAGACAACTGCAACACTTATGATCAAAGTGGGTGAACCTTGAACAAGACAACCATAAAAAGCAAGACAGTTCGACTCAATTTGTTCATCTTACATATTTGTTCAACTGTTGTTGCTTAAAGGCCCCATACAAAGTTTGAAAATATGTTTTTTATTATTCATTTACTATTTTTCATGACTTGAAAAGTTAGTTGAGAGGTTTTTGAAAAATTATTGGGAAAAAGGTTGTGAGCTTGTATTTCTCAAATTGAAATGGCAAACAAAAATTGAAATGTTTTAATCATCAAATATTCCCCTGTACAGTGCAAAACACAATTTCTTTTTAAATACCATTGCAAAGATTGAAAAAGGACAAACTATATCAAATAAAGTGTCATATCTAGCGTGCCACTTAAATGTTTTTGGTGTCATTCAGGTGGCAGAATTTTAAAAAAATTAAAAATTCGATGTCAAACTTTTCTAGATAGGCCAAACTTAAACCTGAACCCATAATATACCAACGTTGATTAAAAAAAATATATAATGTTTTAACTATTACTTTACCATTGGTTCTTATGAGAACTGAAATTTTGACATGCATTTTCTTTGACATGCATTTTCTCTGAAACACTTTCATGTATTGATGAGTTCATAAAACATGAATGAGGATGAACGCTATGGTGTTAAGTATCGCTTATTAAAAGATGTGATCTCCCAAATTTAGTTTTGAAAAAATTCACGATTTTTCGCACAAAAAGTCCAGCCCTTTTGCTCCTAGTTTCCCTAATAAAAAGGTCCCTCCCACCAAACGTGGCCATCTAGACCCGAGTTCCCTAGAAAACCCAGGCCTTTAGTTTACTTTCATACCTGGAGATCAAACCAACTGGAGGCATCAATGAAATGTCTGTCGCTGAAGAAAGGCTCATTGATCGACTTCGAGCTCTTAGTCCAGGCTCCCTCAAGGTAGCACATAACAGGCTTGAAGAACTTGCGGTAGTCCCTGACCTTAAAGTTCTGGTTCTTCCATGCTTTGAACCATTCTCTCATCTCAATCACCTGCTCGTTGACGGTCTTCTTGGCAAGAACCTGAAGGTAGAAATCACAAAATGCAATCGGTACAGACTGCAGATGTCAAAGCCATTATATTTCTATAAAATGGCAATTATTGAACACGAAGTATTATATCACGATCAGTAAAACTTACGCCAAATGTTTGATTATGAATTCTTCTGATCAAGTCTTATTCAATTCGTGAAAAGGATCAGAGAGATAAGATGAAAAGCAAAGATGACGATCTTCTATTATACTGGGGTTTTACAACAGTATGTACATGCATGCAAATAAATGAGAAACCATATTGTAACTTCCCGCCACCTATAATTAAGGATTTTGGAACGGTTTGAAAACAGTTTCTAAAGATAGATCTGCGATATAATAGCATCTTACCGCTGGGGGTACGTCTGGAAATGGGATTGGGTCAACAGAGTGGAATGTTTTCTTGGTCTTACTCGGCATGAGTAGTCTGTAGTCATTGTGGCGTGTACGGAATTCAACACCATTTAGGACAGCTATGAACTCTCCCATACCTGCAAGAACAGACAGCAAGATAGATGACACTGAATAAAGTAAAGGAGCGCATGCAGCTAGAATCCCCAAGATCTACGAGTATATATTCGACGTATTCGGCAAGCTTGACGTGCAACGTGAGTGTATATTGGCAATTAACAGCACTATTTAAGACATGTTTGAGTCAACGAAAATTGTGATATGAAACAGTGTTAACAGAAGGTAGTAGATTTACGCGTAGTTCTTCAAAGATCAACACGTAGATTAGTTTGTACCTGTATGGGGCAGTTGAGGCCAAATATGAACAATATTCATCAGATATTTAAATAAAAGAGGAAGCGTTACAGAACATTTTGATCTACCATCCATTATCATAATTCTGGCGAAATCATACTCTCTCTGATACTAGAATAATGTCAATCTATAGATATCTTCTTCATACCGACAGTTCTGATGTTGTTAGTATGGTCGTGAATAGCGGCAATCCTGCTGTCAGTGAATGATGTACTGAAGTAACTCTTGGTTCCATCACGACTGTGTCTCGTCTGTTTAATACCAGAGTCACCGTCAGATCTTGAACAGAAGCAAAACAATTTAAGGCAGGCGTTCTGGGACGATATTTATACCAGAGTCACATTCAGATCTTAGACATATACAGGTATAAATCATTCCAAGGCACATCGTCTGTGATTGCTTTTCACATCAAGTTCGGAGGGCGATACTTTAGAGCGCATGACATTGTTTCGTGTTCTGTGGTATGATCTATACCAGTAATGAGTATAAATGCGTCAGACAGAAGAAAATCAAAATCGCAAGGTGGTGTAGTGACGTAAAAAAAGTACCACTGGCAGTGCAACATTTTCTGATGAAACAAATGATCTTGGGACTGTGCTCGTATGGTAAGCGTGTATTGAATCATTGAACACATAGATCTTTACAATTCGCTTGGTCAATTTGATGTTCCTCTGGGCCTAGTATTTCACCGTGATCGTTATTGTCTGTAATTTGATGCTTAATGTTCAAGTGGAAAACAAGTCCAATACCTGATCCTTTCCTCTACAAATAGCTGCTGTAGCATCATCTGTCTGGCCAGACTATTGACTGTTTTCTTGAGGCCTTCGACATCTTTGGCCTCTTGAGCCTGGCAGGCACACCATAGTGCTACCAGCACCAACACCTTCTGGAAATGGTAAAACAGGATACGTTGATTTGTAAGTTCAGTTGTATTTTTTATTGATGTATGGTTTCCGTGTGAATCTTGTGAATCCTGATAGCTTGGGAATCATATGCCGGAGAAACATTGTTAACAGAAATAAAAAGCCAGCGATAGCACCCTTGACTCACGCAAACCATATGAAAAGTGACTCAAAGATCGTCCCTTTTCATTCTTCACATTACTCAAAGTTAATGAAAAACACAAACTATAGAAAACAAGAAGAAAGACCTTTCTCAGTGTTGTATTGCATGTCTATTAATTTTTTAGAATTAAGTTACGTTTCAGAAAATAGTTCATGTTACGCGTTCGTATTGTATCGTCGGGTAAATATAATGCTTGCATTGAAAGTAAAATGAAAAGAGGACTCTCGGGCCATGGGTCATTGATCCCAAAACATGTGCAAAACGCCAGTGACATCTATGAACTGAATTGGACAAGAAAAGCATCGTTATATTTAAAGTAATATACTTTAAACATATCTTTTAAATATCTCTAAATAATTCGATCTGAGTTTCCAATCTGTTGCAAGGAACTTCCACGATTGGTTTGTCTCGATCTTCAAAACTTACCAACATCCTGTCTCAATGTATCCAAGATGTGAATGAAGTCAGATGACAACGTTTACTTTCATATTCAAGATCAAAATATCGTCATCATGTCATCTTTACCATGTTCAATTAGGGTAACGCATTGATGAGCAAACCAAATACCACGGATGAACCTCTTATCGTCTGGAAATTGTATCTTGCTATAGTTATGATTGTCAATGGGAGTGGATTGTTATCATTATCGTTATCTATATCTTTGCCATGACTATATCAGGACCATCAACACTGTGATATACAAGACCCAAACGTATCATTTCAATATATTTGTAGCTAAACAATTGCTATAAACAGTTGCTGTACATTCCTTATTAATTTTCGAATTATAGACGTATTACATAATCTAATATAATCTCGTTTGTCTTATTCATCATTTTTTAATACAACTTCTTTCAAACTGATCACCTTTCTGATGTATTACACGCGGGAACTATCAATTTAAGATGATATAACTCCTCTTACTTAAACGTACTTTATAAATGCTCTAATTGCACTAATGGGATAGAATGTTATGTATTTTCTTGAAGACTTTTAAAGATTTGTAAGTTCTGTTACTTGTCTACTTATATAATTCTTTGCAATTGATTAATATTGGTCTGGATGACCACTTTAGTTGTCATGGCTTTGAACATTGTGATAAGGGTGTAAATATCAAAAGTTATGAAAAAACAAAAGAATATTGGTTTAATAGTTAGTTTATAGTATTCTTTCTGAGGTCTTTACTGCCCCATCTAACAAAAAATCCTCTTTACTATAAGTGAATTCGTTTCCATTACTATCGATTAAACAACTCCTTCTTTTATGATGCATTGTTACCATCTTACAGGGCCTGTTATAAGAATATTAGTTAAGGTTTTAAGCCTTTGACTCAGTGCAATGTGGAATGACCATTTCTTGAAAGTGTTGCTTTCCAAAATTTGAACGAGAAACTTTGCATCGAGTGTTTATTTTAAGAAACAACGCCTGAAAGGATTGCTCATTCCACTGGCTTAAATTCTTTTCACACATTGCAAAATATGTTCTTCCATGTCACTTTAAGTGACATGATATAAGATACAAAATCACTAAAAGAACATATTTTCGATGAACTTTTTCTCAAGGGTCAAATCGACAAAGCATCAAAATTCACTCGGTGAGTCCAGCTCCCTCAAAATGTCAACGACATAAAACAAATGCGTTATTGAATATTTCACGCACTGCTATCATGTGAAATACTGTGTTTGGATTGGGTGGAATTGGACACACCTTGCCTAGCTATGTGTGAATACTAGTTAAATGGCTCATATTTTACTATATTGACCTGAGCTATATGTGACCGTAGTGGCCCAAAATGGATATTTAGCCCGGCAATGTTCCCCGGTAGGTATCTTCCAGTGCGTATACTTTTCGTTCAACGTCAGTCCGCTCTTGCTATTTCAACCCCGAACGCGTGATGACATCCCCGAGATGACATGGGCAAACCAAATCCAAATGAATGAAAAACTCGTACGTCGCTCACTAAAGTCTACTATTTTTGCCCTTAGCCTTTACGACTGGATACCATTTTCTAATTGTCTGAAATGATTTCATTTTCAAAACAAAGCTTCAAGGACACTATCACTCGGGTAGTATGTAACTGATCAAATACCAAATAAGGGAATGACAGGTCGAGTGTATTGACCAATACGAATCAAAGTTGTTTACAATTAAAACGTCTCTTCTACTTTATTGTATTATGCAACACAATGTATTGTAATTATTAATGAAGTAAAGTGATTTGATAAACTCAAACTGGAAACTTGTGCCGTGCCAGCTGACCAAAATAATTAAGGCCATCGGTAGTAATTAAAGTTTACTCGCCCAAACACAATAATGTAACATCACGTAACTTTTATTAATTTCATATCGAGGTTGTCTAACAATAACTTCACGCCATGTTTTCTTAGACAACATGTGTCGCGAATCATATAAAAATGGGAATCTTTTCAAATTAAGTTAGTTTGAATCTTTCACTCCGGCAAGATGATGATCAAGGTTGTTACTGCAGTGCTTTTCGGGTGTGTGGCTGTCGCCCTAGCTGACAGTTACGTAACGTAAGTTGGTTTTACTTTAACCGCATTTAGAGGAACGTACACTAAATCAAATTGATGCTTACTTTCTAATATATTGTCAGCATTTTACTTTTTTTTGTTTACAAGATTCCATTGCAAGCCTATTTTTATTAGAAGTTTAATTAAATTTGATATCCATTTTATTTGTAATTGAACTAAAAATTTCTTCATTCCGATTTTTCGATACTTGCTGACCTATAAGGTAGCTAAAGTGTATGATACAATGGAACATAATAAATAATACGGTTTGACCTTTTTCAATATAAATGGAAAATAGATGGCATCATGGGTATTGGTAGGGCTAGGGTAGGGCTAGAATGTATTGCCAGAGTCACTTAACTTCTTGATAAAAGAAATAATTGGATCAACCTAAAACATCTTTGGAATATAATTCTATGATCTTATTGACATGTGGATTGTGATTTCACATTAAAATTTTGATCCCTGTAAGAGTAAATGAACTTTTAAAGGTTTTTCGGCATTGTGTCAATGGGGATTTAGCCCGACCTTTTTTAAACAACCAGAAAATCATAAGAATTTGAATAAAGGTAAATAGCGGAGCAAATCAAAGTTCTTTTGATTGATAATTACACACAGAATTCAAATAGCCATCAAATAGAATTAAAAACGAGACTTTAACGAGATTTCAAAGCTATATGGAAAAGGACCATTAAATATGTGTATGTAATCATGTTATTGTTATTGATATGTGATATGATGTGGAGAAATTAGTTTCGGATTCGGCTCATTTACCAAAAAAATAAATAGTTCACTTACTAAATGTAAATGATCAACATTTGTCTTTTGAGAAAAAATGCTATCATGTTTACTTTCATATTATTTCTACAGTGAGAGTTACGAAACTGAGGCATATGCCACACCCACCTACCAGAAAAACGATGGTTACGGTTATGACGCCAGCTACGTCTACGACCGCAGACCATACGGTTACGTTCGCAAATACGACAAATACGGTAGACGAGACTACGGTTACGGACGCAAAGATTACGGTTACGGTTATGACCGTAGAGATTATGGATATGGTTATGACCGTAAGGATTATGGATACGGTTACGATAGCAAAGACAGCTACGCCCACGAAGATAAGTATGCATACCCTAGCTATGATGCCCCAAGAAGTTACGATGCCCCCAAGGAAACTTATGGCTACAAGGACACCAAATACAGCTACTGTGACACCTATGGCTCTGGATCCTATATGTACAACATGTGCAGGAAATGCGCCAGCTATAGCGAAAAGTGTAAGTTATATAAACTGATAAAGATGGGAGGAACTCTAAACTAATGAAAAATGTATTTTCTACTATATGACAGCCGATAATTGTTAATTGTCACGATATTACTTATGTAAAGATATATTTTAGTCTCACATAATTGTATTTACGTAATAACAGTGAAATATGTCGCATTATTTTAATTAGCAGTCAACATGTCCCATACCATCCAAAAATCAATTTAGATAAAATTCTGTGACATTTCATTTTACTTTGGTAGTTCTTTATATTCACAATGCAAATTCTAATATGTCACTTTTGGAAAGATACTTATGAGCACGAACATTTTATATATTCACAATTGCACATTCCATTCTACTTATACGGTACAAGTAGATATAACAACCTACCTTTAAATACATCAATATCTATTGAAAGGACGCCCCAATCAATACAATATATATCAAGATTTCGAATGGTATCTCGGGTGATTAATTAATAAAAGGGCGCGTGTCTTCTTCTCGTCATACATGCCCCGATTTTGATTTCAACCCGTATGCGAGATTTTCTTGAAATAAGATGAGAGTATATATTCAATGGTTTCAGTTACCTGCGAGAAGGCTTATTACCCAGCCCAGTCTTACACTGTAAAAACAAAGGTGGGGTACGGCAAAAACGCCAGCTACAAGGAGGAGACCAAATACTACGCCCCTGCCCAGATTTTCCACTTCAAATCAACTGATCCTAAATGTTTCTACCAATGTGACGCCAATGGAATGGCCGTAGCCCGCCCATGTCCCTATGGCACAATTTTCGATGAGAAACTCGGCGTTTGTGTTGCCGGACATTAAATTGCTCAAACGTAAGTTTTTGTATAGTCTGTTCAGGGATGGGGGCGTCACAACATTGAGCTTATAAGTAGCATTGGGTTAATACCACCATAAGTAGGACTCATTGTTGTAAATCACGCCTTCTCAGTTATCTATGTCAATGGCCTGGGTGAGTATAAGTACAAAGGCGAGAAACTGCGATGTGTATCAGAATGATTATAAGGCTTGTACGGAAGTCGTTGTCCACAAGGATATTTCGTTGATTAAATTGAAGATATCAAATTATTGGAATAGGCCCTATATAGATCTATAGTAAATGTTCAGCAATCTCATTTGAGGTTGGGGAATTGTCTCTTATGTCTTCTCTCGATTGCAACATTTATCACTATTAATCGAAACGCACTCGAAGACTCACTTCGTACAGTGCTTCATGTCCATCTACAAATAAGAAAACTCCCGGGTGTAAATTACAAAATATGACATACTTCTTTTGTTTTATAGGTGAGAATGCTGCATTTAATAAACTGGTTTTCTCGGGGACGTTGCTACCATTGAACCTTCGAAGTCTAATTCCAAGTATTGTACATGTGTTCAACATTGCTGTTTAAAAATCACACCTATATTATCATACTGTTAACATCCCTCGTTATATAGAATAAATCAAATTCTTTAACAAAATGTAGTTTTCTGCTTATGTATTTAATGCACATCTAGACGATTTGTCATGCGTTTACTTTATTTTAAGAGGATAATCTCGAAAACGACGAACACAAAGAGGTGTGTCAATGCTATTAATGAAAAATGCCATGACATTCATACTCTTGTCGTAAACATAATGAGGAAACGATGTCTAATGACATAAGAGCTGAAAGCGTTAATTCATCTGTAACCCGTTCAAAGACGACTGCTTATTCTACATTAATCTAGCTGGGGAACTGGGGGTAAAACGGACATGCAGGTAAAATGGGACCCTTCACCATTTTCAAAATATGACGGATCCAAAATAAAGTGACGAATATGATTGATTGAGAGTGTTATATATCGAAATATCACCAGAGGATAACGTATTTCACGAGGCGAAGTTAAGTGTGATATTTTTGAAATTTCTGTTAAGACAGTCCCGTCAAGACATGTTCACAGGCCAAATCATTCGAAAATGCAATTTGGGAGATCCGTATTTGTCAGTAATTACAAATAATAAGTAACTTATAATTAATCATACTTATAATTAATCATTAGTCATAACAAAAATCTGTAAATAGTATATATTATTTAATCTTTTAAATGAGTTCATGAAAGCGATTCAGAAATGACTCAAATAATAACAAAAACGGAAATCCAAATTTAACGAAAATGCACTTCTGATTGGACGATATAGCACGACATCATACTCAAGCGGAAACGTGATTTAGATCAATTTCAAAGTCGTAGATGCATTATAAGTACATCACCGTCTGCTCTATGAAACACTTAGACTACAAAACAATACACAATAGGTTGTTTCAAAATTATAGAATTGAATTTTCGGGGTCACCCTGTAAAACGACACGGTTTATATAGTCTTGCTTAAGACAGTGGATTCTTATCTATACACAAGGGCTTGTAGCTAGACTACTGTTTAGATTTAGAATTAGAGGAAGGTCAAAAAAATATTTTACCCCTAGTTCCCCTAAATCTACAGTTTGTGTATAGAGACAGGTCTCTCAAAAGTTGGTTGATAAAATCATCGTTTTCTTGTAATAACATTTTAACATGTACAAGGTCAAAAAGAGTCTTTTTTACCCCTAGTTCCCCAAAGTCTTCAATGTGTGTATAGAGATCAGAGACATGTCTCTCGAAATTTGGTTGATAAAATCATCGTTTCCTTATTACATTTTAACATGTACAAGGTCAAAATAAGTCTTTTTACCCCTAGTTTCCCTAAGTCTACAGTGTGTGCATAGAAACAGGTGTCTCGAGAGTGGGTTGATAAAATCATCGTTTCCTTAATTACATTTTAACATATATCACAATTAACAAAGACAGGTTTTGTTGTGTAAATGCAGTCATAAAACAGAAACGGAAAGGATTCCTATTAATGTATATAATCTCGATGTCCAAGGCTACTTGGAACAAAATACTGATCAAATATGCTAACAAACAGTGTAATTAACCCCTGTAACCCCCTCCCTCTACTTGACTACACACCTTCTCACATATCACATTGGATTTGTAGTTTGAGGGAGTCATTATGAAAAATAACGGAAAATGTTGAATATCAAATAATACATGGATCAAGCCCAATATGCATATACATTAACAATAGTGTAATTGTTAGATATCCCATGACTGCTTTATGGTTGCTGGATGACCTTCAAAACCAGATCATCTGTGCAATTACCCCCAACCGGTCGTCTTTCTATCATTAACTATGAAATAACGAACAAACAGTGCATCTCGTAATGCACAGTCAATTTTTCACTGTACACTTTCTGTTTCGAATGGATAACTGAATAATCCATAAAGAAATTAATTGAAGATCTGTCACAGAAATAGCGATTCAAAATAGAATTTCTCTTAAGTGGTTCTTCTATGGCGATTATTCATTATAAAAACAATTCATGTAATAGTGGGTCTATTAAATGCGTTCAGGTCAGTATTTAAGCACCTGTATCATAGTATGTGATGGAAGGTGATAAAAACAACAATAATAGTATGTAGTTCCACTGATTAATCTAACGAATGTTTGTTATCTTTACGTAGCAATATAAAAATCACCCTTATCTAGAATTTATCTAAAAAACGAATGGATCAAAATTGAAGTTTCTAGCTCGAGCAAATATCATTGGACTGGAAACCAATTACGAATTACGAATTATGGAATATGAGTAATGGGGAATGTTTATTTGTGATGTAGATGTAACAGACACAATTCTACATAAGTATACCCTGGAGGTGTCCATTTTAATAAAGAACATCATGCCCTCATCGTCTGAGCAATGAGTTTATGCCATGTGCGTCCTTTTTATATACCCTAACGTTAAGAAAAATTAGAAAAGTTTATGCTAATTTTAGTTGATAGTGTATTTTTATGTACCCTTGGTTTACGCAGCTACCGATAAAGGATCAGACGAGTGTGTGACAGCGTGATCGCGGTGGTCCAAAATATATTTTCAATCCAAAGTATCCATATCTTGCGTTCAAACAACCCAAGACATCAACGATTTCAAACTTGACACGAAAAAGTGGATATAGAACAAGTTATTGGTGTTTCACTTGCCCCCTCCTCCGGTTATGGTGTTATACCAACCCGGAGATCGAGCAATTTAAGTGGAATCTCGACTTACGGACGACCATAATATACCAGTCGATAGCGTACAATTAAATTTTTGATATCTTGAAATTCAGCGCCGATCAAGATCTTGATTCTCAACCCGCGCCAAGGAGGGTATCAATACTCAATAATAGTTATGTTTCTATCGCCACCAAAATTTGAAAATTTAGTTTTTGTACTTTCAAGGTGATCAAAGAAGTTCGTGATTTTCACTTCAAATTTTGAATCGCGAGTTTTGGTCTTATTCCATAACAAAAATCAAAATACACAAGAAGTGATTAAGAGCTCAAACTTAAGAATTGCTGATCATGAATTTATAACCAGATTATGAACAATAAATTCATATACAGCAAATACTCATAACATCAAAAATAGCTGTAGTTACTAACATTCCTACAATACAGTAGGTGTTCATCTTCAAATGATGTGGGATAGACGAAATCTAGTCTAGAAATCTATAAGCGTATCAGGGTCAACATCCATCCGCAGAGCCGACGCCATAATTCATAAAACATGTATTTCACATGATCATCAGAAGAAATCTATGTTTGGTTTCGATCCCTATTTTTTTCAACAATTGCCAAAACCGGGATCCAAAGATGGAGTGTTCCAGCTTGTACAGGGTGTTTCATAATTGTTCCAGCTTGTACAGGGTGTTTCATAACTGTTCCAGCTTGTACAGGGTGTTTCATAATTGTTCCAGCTTGTACAGGGTGTTTCATAATTGTTCCAGCTTGTACATGGTGTTTCATAATTGTTCCAGCTTGTACAGGGTGTTTCATAATGACACTCCCTCATCAACAACCAATCCGGAACACAATGCCTCCTAAATATATATAATTCTAAAACGTTTTCCTTCAGTACCTATGGGCTAAATATTGGCATGATTGAACACTGAGAACATAATTTGTAAACTCATGAATTGTAATCTTTATCACCACAATTTGATAGATTCATTGCCGATTCATTGTATGGATGTAAAGAGAGGAGCAGATAGTTATACATATATACTATAACCCATTGTATCAATTAGAGATCACTCGGCAGTTCTTTGAAATATATTTAATATACTTTTCTTTCAAGTATCATTAAGATATATCTCCAGTAAGCATCAAATGCTATAATTGGTGCATTACTCTAGATGATACTGCTCTGGGCTTTGGTCATCCTTTCTAGCTATTTGTTCGTGTTACACAATGGTACACCTGTGAAATATTACATCCATTGCAGTGTTAGAATGGTAGATATACACGTAATAATTATTTTTTTATCAGCAGTTTCAATGTACAGAAGTGTTTCACCCGCTTGGTGTTTATTTGAAACCACTCGAAAAGAAGTGCATTTTAAAAAGAGGCAACTTCTTTTCGATATACCCCTCTTTCCAAATAAAATAATTTTGGGCCTTTTAGTGAGGAACTCAATTATACCCACCTATTTCTTACGTTACCCTATGCCTGCCTGTCTTGCCCTGCCCTGCCCTGTCCTGCCCTGCCTGCCTGCCTGCCCGCCTGCCTGCCTGCCTTGCACTGCCCTGCCCTGCCCTGCCTTGCCCTGCCCTGCCCTGCTCTGCCCGCCCGCCCGCCTGCCTGCAAAGTACTGTATTGACTGTCAAGATCAAGGAAACCTTAGAAATATATGTAGTTGATATTTCTGGAAAGACGAAAGGTGAATCCAAGAGTTTTTAGGTGGCGTTATTATGGCCTCATATATGTGAATTATGGGTTATCTTCTCATTTCCGTAAATGTAAGGACTGGAAAACTACCCGTGCAGAACCTGTTAAGATAAGGTTGTAAATAGTAATATGTATAATAGGTATACTTAGTTCTACAAAATGTCCAATTTGACTTGCAAGTAATCAGACTACTGTTGTTGGATTCAACGTAGTAATCCAGTTTTATCTTAAGTGTCTGCAAAGGGTCAGTGAAAGATATTTACTGAACTTGTAAGAGATCTAGAACAATAAATAATCTTTACATAGCTGGTAAATGCTCTTGAATAATAAAGATTCATTTGAGAATTTGTGTGAAGAATAAGTTAACAAAAACAAAAAGTAGAGAGAGAGTAAAAGGTTTGAAGCAATCATGTCAAGAAGCATGCCAATGTCCTTACAATCCCATTTTTCTGAAATGGGATTAAGATGCCTGATCAAATATGAATATTATCTAATGATATTTACGGCACAGAAATCTCCAAATTCATTTAAAATTATAAAGCAGAGAGCGTCCCAACCTTTCAACTTCTGCCAGTTAACTTAAAATCACAAAGATCTTTTAAAATATGACATGTCATATCAAAGAAAATATAATAGAATTTTGACAATTTTCGAAATTAACTAAGTTTTCTCTAGTCTATGTTATGTCCTTTAGAGCTATAAATCATGGGCATAATGGACTCCATCATAGGAAATTTACATAGTTTTAATATATTTTTACATTCTAATCAGAAAAAGCTGCACTAAGAAATACAAATATATTGATTGCCGCTCACAAAACATACATCACTCAAAGTGTTCATACAGGGAATCTTTTGATCGATATATAGTTCAAGAAATTCCTTGAACCAGTTCCTATTATAAATACGAAAGCTACTATGTCATTGTGATGGGACTGAAACATAGAAATACGACGAAGGATAAGTTTTGGTAACAAGATGGTTGACAAGCCCGGTGTGAAGGAAATTATGGTCCACCAGGGATTATGGTCCCCCTTTTTAAAGGCCCTTACTGGCCCTGATTGTGTATAATATAATAAGGGAAAGAGGTCATCATGTAAATCAATGGAGAGTAGGACCATAAATTAATAGAACCTCTTAACCTTTTACACAGGTGTAAAAGGGTAGGAGGTCCTATCAAATTATGGTCCTACTCTCCATTGATTTATATGGTGACCTAAATACAACTCTCCTTCATTATCTTATACGCAATCAGGGCCAGTAAGGGCCGTTAAGAAAGGGGACCATAATCCCTGGGGGACCATCATTTCTTTCACACCGGGTGTAATGTTTTGTCCAAATTTTCTTTCCTCAAAATTAACCAAAGCATAATTCGAATCGTAAAGTTTTTCTGCACAAGTACACACGTGGAAAAATATGGAGTCATGCCCTGCATCTGAAAATCCAGGATTTGGCTACGTGATAATCTTCAATATAATTGATTGATCGGTGTTGTTATACATAAACAAAATTGCTGAAAGCGAAAATGACATCCATCATATATTCTGGTATTTGTTGACACATAGAAAATGAAGCTTAAAATTATAAACTATAAGACTATCACACGAGCTACACAAACCGCAAAAGCTCGACTCTTTATACAGGATATTCTTCAGCAAATGTTTGTATTTCAATTGGGATAAAAGTTTGGTCAATCATCAAGAAAGTAGATTTCTAAGTATTACGAATACTCATTTCAGGCCTGTCGCCATTTTGTTAGCGAAGTGGGTCTGTTGTCTTAACTCTCAGTTTGAGTTCCTCTACAATGTAAATATTGTACTCTTTTTGTTTCCGATGTAGGCACACAGCCACATCCTATTCCATTCTTCAGTCATATTAATTTTCTTATAGTTCCTACAGGCCGAGGCGCAATTTATTGACATATTCACACATATTTCGACATTATATATTGTCTATAAATATTTTGTTACTCTTGTCTAGCTCTGCGGTTGTAAATCGGTCAAAATAATACAGTTTTGTGTATCATGTACTAGATATTATCAGTTATATTTTATTGGATTCACAATTAGTTAAATGTATAAAAAAACTAGTAATTTGCGGTATATCAAACAACGTCAAATCGCTAATTGTTCATAACAGAATATTCTCTTTAAGATTTTAACTTTTTATTGTAAATTATCATAGATGAACGTATGTTACATCAATTTAGTTTTGTTTATAATTGTTCGTTTTATTGGACTTTTTTCGATTGAACTTAATTGTTTCAAGAGACCAATTAACTATTGTTATTAGACAATACACCGACATTAACACACAGCATATAAACAATTTACAATTGTTAACACTGTTTCTGATCGGATGTTTGTTTGGTATCATGCATAGATACGGGTAGAGTACATTACGTCACTTTGCATACAAATTGTATAAAACATATGGATATTTTCAAACTAAAGAAAACTTAAACTGTTTTCGATAAAACTTGTTTTGAATGATATCATGAAGCTTTTGAATTTAGAGCCTCTGGTCATTATAGAACCACTATCAATATTAAAAGGGAATCGCTGTAATGGGAATTCTTGAAATAATAACTCATTAGCAGGACAAAGAAAGCTAAAATAAAAACTGTGTTGCCCAAGGTTAAACCACTAGAATTGGAGGAGGCTTAAACGGGTACAGATGAAAAAACAAATGACATCAATAAACTCATAAACTGATGAAATATCGTTATTTTGAAAATGGGCAGTTCGAAAATGTATATTAAACTCTAAAGTCTAATAATAAAAATGTAGATACAACACTATAACTGTAACTCAGATATAGATAATATACTAAGTAATATATAAAATGAGTTAAATGCGACATTGAATAGGTAATGAACCCTAAATACTTGACAATATGATTCTTTTACATTAAATAACTAACTCATTTCTTTTCCTAACAGCTTTATGCTACAATCTGTAAATTAGATTAATAAAAAGTAAGAATAATATACGAGGCGAATCAAATCAACAGTTTGAAAGATATTACCGTATTAATGTTACATAAATAAAATTCTTCAAACCACCCATTATTGAATTCGTTGCTTTTACGGATTATCAGGAATGCTTTAGTGGACCATTGGTGATGAAATGGCCAATAATTGTAACTAGGAAAACAACTAATTAATCAGATTGATATACCACAAACGATCAGTTAGTATCCTCTCAGTCATGTTTTTCGAATTTGTATATTTTGATGGCAATGCGGGCTGATCCTCAATATTCAATCTCAAAATAGTAGCTTTTGATATTAACTTCACGAGACGAGAATATTTTTTGTTTTAACGAGACCTCTGATGGCGTCAAATGAATCGATGCTACTCGTCTTTGAAGAAGCTCTTTTAACGGCGCATACCCATAAGTCATCTCTGCTAAGTGCTCCCCGGATGGGAGCAATAATTGTATAAAGCAACATCACATCCTAAAGTCGGCCATCTTGCTATTACCATAGGTATATTCCCGGCGGTCATGCAATACCCGTAAACATCTTAAGATGCTCTCTCGTTTTGGTTACAAGCTACGAAAGGCGCTAATGAAAATGTGACGGTAGTAGAAACGCGTATCGGAGGCAGCAAATATTTGTAATATTGAAAACCGTTCTATGCGCCTTTTAATTAGTCTGGTAGCGAAGTCTCAGCTGGTAGTAAGTGGTTCTCAAGCCAAGCTACAGGTACGAAGAGAGGCAATGATATACGTGATTATTAGCAATCTTATACGACACAACTACCACTTACGAGTTACATATACCACTTGTATGATGACGCAGAGACGTTGGATTCATACCGAGAATGAAATGAAGTGAAGGTAAATGCTACTTGCCGAGAGATGGACAAATCACAGTTGGAACCAATGACAACGCCAACTTTAGTACGGGGCTTATACATTAACGTGTTATGATACATACATGAATACATTTAGTACAATATTCAGCATGACGTATAAAGAAAAGAAACACAGTCGGTAAATTAAGGAAACACTTTTTTCAAGGATGACCTAGCGGCAACAAGTCATCAATTCAACATTAAGCAGTTTCTGACGGTCCATTAAGATCCTCGTTTGAAGGCCTTTACAGGAAACGGGAGGCCCTTAGGAGGATGTTTAAGGAGTCATATTGACCATCACACCATAGCAACTGAAAACAAGGATTAACATCATAGGATGCGCTTTCATTACAATAGACACAAATCTCTCTTCAGCGATGACAATAGTAGAGGTTTAACTATAATACCTGTCGCGGCTTACACGTATGTCTAATAATATGAGAAAATAGCCATATTTTTATATTGTAAAACTTGACAATAATAAATCTAAGATATATCAGATATCGGTAGATAAGGGCGTATGTACTTAAAAGATATAACTACTTGATGTAATGGACTTTTTCTATAAGATAAGTACTTATCGTTTTCAGTATGCAATTACTCTACTCACTGATAATTGCTTTCGTTCTCTCTGGTCAAGTTGGAGCAGAAAACGACGTCTGTGACACTCAAATATGTGAGTGTAAGAAAACAAAAGAGAGATCGGAAACTAAAAATTTATTATCATGCACGAAAATGAACACATTGTCGTACCTTCCACTATTATCCAGTGAGAAGAAAATGGAAAGCATTACTGACATAGATATACAGAACCAAGAAGCGTTTACCCATTTAGGTGCCGATTATTTGAAGTACTATGTCAACCTCAAAAGACTTACAATCATTAAAAGTGGACTTATCTACGTAATGCAGGATGTCTTCAAACGCAACTTACGTTTGGAGTATATAAACTTGAGATTTAATCAGATTAGCTTATTTAGTTGGAAAACCGTGGAAGATTTGAGACTAAAAATGATGCAGAGACATCAGGAGAAATGGCTCCGTGTAGATCTGGATGGGAACCCTCTTGTATGCAATTGTAGCATAAAGTGGTACCAAAGAGAAGATCAAGGACTGTCCCTCTCAGAAGATGCAAGGTGTTTTGCAACAAAAAACATGACTATCAACAATGTCCGCGTCACCGATGTGGCAATCGACAATTGTGATGTCCCCGCTATTGCTGTAAAGCCGCCGAAACTTTCTGTGAACGAAAGTGCGGACGTCGAGTTTGTTTGTACGTCCGATTCAACGCCAAAGGGCCGTATTAGATGGAAAACAAACCGAATCGCATCAGAATTCCTTGTGATCGCGAACGACACAAAAACAACACTCCGACTATATAACGTGACAACATTAGACAACCGTTATATAAAGTGTATGGCAGAAAATGAAGCTGGGACCAACGAGGGATCTGTTAGGCTTATTGTAAAATCCCCGCCAAGTATAGCTTATCTGAAGCATGACAAAAACGGTATTTTTACCCAGAATTGTATACTGTTTCAAATCATCGGCACTCCTCGGCCCAAGCTCACTTTTCTCCACAATGGTGAAGTATTAATCAGAAATGACACTGTTGTAACAACTAGGAATTACTCGATTAAATCTATTGATTCTAAAATTAACAACCTCACTGCTTGTCTAGAAATTGATATGCCCTCCCATAGACACAATGGGCAATATACCCTGATCGCCAGAAACGACTACGGAATGGATCGCATGTCGACGAGTGTCAAACTGATTGATATGCAAATTTTTGATCCGAATCGGCGACCTCGTCTGCCTTGCAATGCTCCCGGGTGTGATATAGCGTTTAGAGCCAGAGCAATTAATACTCCCACCCGTATGTCTATAACTGATATACCGGTGCCAGTAAGCAATCCATCGAGTCAACTGCAAAGTCCAAAGGATGAAATCGTACAAATAGCCATCCCAGTTGCCCTGTGCGTTCTAGTTCTATTTTGTATTGTCGCAGCCATTATTGTCTTCCGTCATTTACGGCGTAAAAAGAACGGCAACAATAGGGCTAGAAGAGGCGACTTCTTTACATCCACCGACTCAAGGCGCCCATTGACATCAGGGGGACATGTGGCGGGTCACGGGGACGTAATATCTCAAGAAGATATGCCTCTCAATTCTGTCCACGTGGTAGAAAATCCAAACTACCTTAGAAAGGATAAACCGAAGAACAGCGCAGTTATCCATCAAATCAAGCGCGCACAAATAGAGTTCATACGTGAACTAGGCGAGGGTGCATTCGGTAGGGTTTACCTTGGGAAGTGCATGCATTTGCAAACAGGAGACACCACAACGATGGTCGCTGTGAAAACTCTGAAAAACAGCTGTGACGTTGAAGATGTACGGACCGATTTTGACCGTGAAGCAGAACTTTTGACTAATCTCCAACACGATCATATTGTGGCGTTTTATGGAGTGTGTACCGAGTCTGATCCACTTATGATGGTCTTCGAATACATGGAAAACGGAGATCTAAATAACTACCTTCGATCACGTGGCCCCGACGCTATATTTTTATGTAAGAATTTGCCAAGTAACTTACCGAGTAAACAGCTGACAATCCCAGAATTGTTGCACATTGCTAATCAAATTGCCTCCGGAATGGAATATCTTGGTTCCCAACACTTCGTTCATCGAGATCTGGCTACCCGGAACTGTTTGGTAGGAGACCGCCTCGTTGTTAAAATTGGAGACTTCGGGATGTCAAGAGATGTTTACAGTACCGATTATTATAGGGTTGGTGGGCATACAATGTTGCCTGTGAGATGGATGCCTCCGGAGAGTGTTCTCTACCGAAAGTTTACAGTTGAATCAGATGTTTGGAGCTATGGGGTTGTATTATGGGAGATTTTTACTCTTGGGAAGCAGCCTTGGTATGAACTATCGAATCACGAAGTGATTCAACATATTCAGAATAAACTGCTCGAATGCCCTAGATTGTGCCCTGATGATGTGTACAGAATAATGCTTGGTTGTTGGAGGAAGCAGCCGCAGGACCGCCTTACAATGACTGAGATCAGAAAAATGTTACAGTGCATTTCTGAGACGTTCCCGGAATATCTGGAGCTCATTGATTAGATTCCGACGCGTTAAGAGATAATATATAAGACACGATTTTCAACAAAATAAAAAAAGTTGATCATTTTTTATCTTAACACCCCAGTCACATTTGTCGCACGGCGGCCGCAAGTCGACCGCAGAACAATTAAATCGGTGAATTTCTGCGGCGAGCGTAGAAAAACTACGCTCGCCTTGCGGCCTCCGTACGGCGAATGCAGATTTTTACAGGCCGCAGGGAAGGCGTAGAAATTATAACTCGGAGTTATAATATTTGTTCATTTCTGAGGTCCCCGTAGAAATCAACTGGCTCAACAAGATTGAATCATTATTTATCAATGTTTCACGATCACTTTTCATTTGATATTACATCCTAGCACTATGAATAACGTTTTTAAATTGTCCTGATGTAAATAAAATGAAAAAAGTATTATTTATCGACAGAAATTTAAAATTCACCGTGCGGCTGCCGTGGGAAATGTGACTGCAAAAGTATGAGAGCGCAGAAATTCTGCGGCGAGCGTAGAAAAGCTACTGGCCGCAGAAATGATAGACCGCAAGGTCGCCGTAGGAAATGTGACTGGGGTGTTAAGCTGCCTAGCAAATATTATGGCTGACCATCACTCTCATAATATGAATATTAATTTGGCAAATATTAAACATTTTAACTAACACGGATTTCCCCCTTTTGTGTGATGTGATCGAAAGTTGTGTACAATGTAATGTTTATGGTAAATCATCTATATATAAAAACCAAGAACATTTGCCATGCAGCTTTTAGATTTTGATACGATTGATTAGCACATTTTAACTTGAAAAACTGATATGGTATTATGGAGTAAGAGAGGGTGCTCTCGTATTCTCGTATCTTAGAAACCGACAATTAATTGTTAAACACTCTTATATACAATCAAACATACAAGGCACTCTCAACTCCAACAGTATGGAAACCGATAGTTAATTTTAGACCAAGTGTTAAATAATAATTGAGAAGCGCAATTTGCATTTAAAAACAGATTTTAATGTTTTCAAATTGAGACCTCCGTTTCCCAAACATATGAAGGCGTTGTATATAATGTTTTGTTCCTCAAGGCTCCATTTTGGGGCCGACTCTGTTAATAATGTATTAAAATACCATGTAATAAAATGTCAAAAAAAATTCACATTTAAACAGTTTTATTTGCAAATGGTACAACTATTGCCTTTGAGAAATACAATGGTAATCAAGACTAACTTAAAAAAAAAGAATTTACTTATATGATTCATATGTTGAAGAAAGCAACATTTTTAAATTCCCTTGGTAGTATTGTAAATTGATATGATATCGCTAGATATTATTGCACTATGAAATCCTGTGTTGTTTTTAAGTACGTGAGGTATGCTATTAATTAGCAAGTTTCTTATACATTCCCAAACTATATATTGTGATAAAAAATGTGAAGCTGACATAGTTACATTACTAATCAAGTCTACTTTTATATTTTCAAAATAAGTATTTGGGGTTAATTGATAACTACCTTAGGTTAATATAATGATAAGAAATAAACAAGGCAATTAAATGAGAATGTCACCACCTGCGAAACAATAAGAAATGAGCATGTCCAACTACATGCTGCATGTCAATAACAGGGCAGCAAATCCAAAATTACCAGAATATACATAAATATCCACCCAGACCAATTATAACGGAAAAAGAAACTTACAAAATGTAATTTACAAGATAAAAACAATAAGAGTGCAAGGTCCTAGAATATGGAATTTGTTAACAGATAAGATCAAACTTCGCCATTACTTGCCAAATTCAAGATAAATCATGAGAAATATCGAATCAAAAAAATCAATAATGCCTGACTAACTTTTCTTTTGAGGTTAGGCGCACTTTACTATATGCCTGCTATTTTTGTGTTGTCGACTAACGTATTATAAGTCTCCTTAAAATTTTGACTTGTTGTATAGCCACTTAGAATTGTTATAGCCACATTTAAGTGACCGGTGTTCAGGATCTGTGACAAATTGTTACATTTCTGTAATTGCTTGTGAAGTGGAGGACTTTGTGGTGAATTTTTGTCATGTAAATTCCTTGTTTTGTAAATGTTCACTCTTTTTATTGATTTTTAACTTAGAGATGTAAACCCTGGTATTTTTAAATGTTGTATACTAGATATGAAGTATGAATTAAAATAAAGATCTTGTATAAAACAGTTGAAAGTTCTGTATTTTGTGCATGAAGAATTAAAGGTACAAAATGGAATCAACATGTGTGTACATGTATGTCAATCAACCCGTTTTTAGCCTATGGAGTCGAACCTCGCAAAATCGTAAAATTGATTTTAATCAGAATAACTAACGAGCAATAACTTTTGATGATATATGAGGAAATGTCCATAAATTGTCAATAGATGTCTCGATAAATCCTTGGAGCAGCTCAAAGTGTGTTAATAAAAACTGGAAATTGATTTCTTATTAATAGCCTTTAAAGTTGTTTACTACATATGCGAATACTGAAGTCACGTTTTCGTTCACTGATGCTCTTGTATCATTATTACAAAGTTAGAGGGTTCTAGTTTTGTGTCATTCTGTATTACTTCTAATTGATTTACAAATTGGCAAACATGTCGAATTTAAAACGCTCAAAATTGCACTTATATAATCAAATTTTCATCAAATAATACCGTTTTCTCTGCAGGATTTTGAAATCAGACTGACATACGATAGAAATTCAAATATGAAAAATTTAATGAAAAGCACATCAATATTCAGTTTATATTTAGTCGACGAATAAGCAATAACCTTTGATAGCGGGCCTGCTTACAGGTAAATTCATGTAATATTTTGAAGTTGTAATTAGATCTAGGTCAAATCAAAGTCAATGAGTAACTTTTTAAAAACTGCCACGATTTTACATATTATGTAGATAGTAAAGTGTTATTTTGTATGATAATAAATAGATATATATTTCTGCGTCTTAAACCTTCAATTACTTTCACATTTGATTACATGAAAAAATGGCGTGCCAAACAATAATGTTGCTCCCAATTATAGAGTTTCGAGAGCCAAAATCAAAACGGAATATCTAAAATAGCCATCGTAAAGCAAAACCGAATACCATTTTTTGCAAGCTTTAATTTAAGTGTTTCTGCTAATTTAACAAAGACAATGTTAAGCTTGTCACATTCAAATGGGTCGCACACTGTCAATATTTCTGAAGTATTGGATAATTCTGGTTGAAAATACTAAGAAGAACGCAATTTTGAATACAGTAACATTTTGTACAACAAAGATAAGACCATAACGGGAATATTCAATGTAAACACAAGTAATCTGATCCAACAATACGTACTATTTTCACCTGTATTTACGTTTAATAATTAGTTCTATGACTTTTGTCTGACCTATGACTGAAATATGGAACTTAGTTACATAGACGATTGAATGAACAGATACACAAAAGACTGATTTATTAAATGCTGGAATTGATTTCAAATTCTCAAATTAAGTGCACTCATAGATATTAAAAATGAATATGGTTGTTTACACACTTTTTAAGTGCATCAAGATATTAATTTGTTCTGGAGACAAAACTTCATATTTGTGATTTCAATTGTCTTCCAGATTTGACATAAGCTCTGATATTGACATTCATGTTCGCCCCGACACGACTGGATGCAGACTTTAAGGGTTAGAGAGGATATGAAAAAATGAGGGTAAATCGAAATAAAATTAGATTACAAAATAGGGATGAGCGGGAGTAAAAGCAAACATCCTGTTATTAGAGTGGTTAAATTGAAATTAAAACATGTAGATCAGAAAAATAGTTTTAGATATGGGGAGTATAGAGATGTCAGGTAATTCACTGGTTGGCTCCTATTGTGGATGATGTTAAGGAATGACCAATCACAGACAGGGCATTCAGCAAAAATAGAACCCGCCCGGGTCCGAAGGAATATCATGGCGAAGGTATTTTAATAGTTCTTTGTACTCTTTTAGTCTCTTGTAAAGGCAATATCAATCTATCCTAGCGCCATCTATTCAACAAGAACAACTAAAAACAGTTAAACCAATCGATTGCGATTTCTCTATATTCAATTTTTAAACGGAAGAGAAAATCTATTAAGAAAAAGATGGCGGAGTCGTTGTGCGAAAATTGTTTAATTTAACTAGACACACAAGAAAAGAAAGCACTTAAAGTTGTATTAAAGTTGTACTATTATTATCTTATCTCTATTTAGCACAAATAACATCCCTTTTGTTATTTTGACTTAACAAAGCTTGTGATAAAACCCACACAGCACGATTTATTAAGATAAGACTTTCAACCTCTGAAATGTTGTTTTTTCTGCGCACTTTTTGAGGTCACCTGACCAAGACAGTTTTGACGTAACGTGTGCCAAGTTATTCTGGCGCCAACCCCAAGTCCTACGAAAACGTCGTAAAACGGGCTCAATCTGGCTGTGGTCGGGAAATATGTCTAAAATAATTAGATAATTCGTTCATAAACTGTCTTCAATACGTCCATCTCATTCGCAGTTCGTTCAGGTCGCACCACGTCGGTGTGCAACGTCGTATAACGCGTCCCTTAGTCTAGAAGGTCATCATGACCTGATTACAGAACGGTATGGTCGCCATCGAATTTTGAATCGATCAAATCACACTCCCCGTCCGGGAAAGTCCATGAAGCTCGTAAACAGACCGTAGAACGTTTTAGCTACGTTCATTCAGTTCGCACACAGTTTAAAACCAGTTTTGAAGAATGCAGTGGCAATTTGTTTGGTGTGATAGCTATATTTTTGCTAACTCGTTCATAAGCAGTCTTAAATACATTCTCAATACGTCATCAGGCAGTTCAACTCGTTGTTAAAACGTCCCTAGTAAGATTGAAGTACGACGGTTCCGTTCGTAGTACGTCCAGCTCGTCGTTAGTACGTTGTCATTCGTTCTAATTGTAGAACGTATCGACCACGAGAACATATTGAGCATGTTCTAAGTTCTAGAGGACCTACCCGTTCGAGTACGTTCGATGAAGTTTGTAAATAGACCCCAAACGGTTCTTAGTACGTCCAGTCCGTTCGTACACAGTTGAAGCCCGTTTTCGAGAACGTAGTGAAAACTAGTTTGGTGTGATAGTACGGTCTATAGAAAAGTTGTTGTTGAAAACTACTACGAAGGCTGAACCAAAGTAGAATGAATGAGTGAAATGAACTTTTGAAATTGTTGATTGTTCACCATCTTAAAGTGTGGCCTTCATACGGTAAGATAGCATAGTTCAGAGACAGAGGACTTTGGAATACTTTAACCCTATTGTCTGCAGGGGGAGTCAATTCGATTTTTTGCAAAAATTACAATTAACAAAATATTATAATG